TGGTAAGGAAATTTATCAGGATTATGCGATATTAAAATTATGACCTTGCTTTTATGGAAACAAGTAGGAAAACAATTTAAGTAGGAAATAAAAGAAAAGTGGGACCTATACAGTACCTCAATTAACTTAAAGTAACTAACAAAAGGATTCTAACACTGTGAGGGCATATAAATATTCTTAAAAAAGACACCGAAAAAATAACATATAACTCTTTAGGATTTGTATGTTAGAACTCTTTAGGATTCACTATTTAAAATCTAAATAATAAGATTGGCATATTGGTAAAAGAAGCTGTGGATTACTAACAATTGAATATTTGCCCCGTACTAAGAAAAGGTTCTGCTAATTTATCAAACGGACACTGATGCCAAATCCGAAGAAACTGGATCTAAACCTAAAGCTTGGAGAATCATCAGGAAAATTGAAGATACAGAAAAAACTGAAAAATCAACTTATATAGCTTCTTATCAATTAAAGTGGGTTAATATTCACAGGACCAGCATGTTCAAAAATAATTGGAGAACGAGTCAATTAAAATGGGGAATGGACTGGGAAAAAATCATTAATTCAATAATTATTAGGAAACCAGAAGCATTTAAATATATTCTTTATGAGTTGGGTAGCAAGAGTCTGAACTTTTTTATACAATTGTAAAATCAACCTTTATCAGTATAGTGAGGCTAAAGGGTAGTGGGGCAACATATCTTCCCCACCTTACAAATTCATTTGTTTCTCATAAAATATATTTCCTAATGCTGTTATTTATTAATTATGTGCTTCACATTTCGATTTTTTTTCTCCACATTTTGTCTTATTTACCTCATCTGATAGATAATCTTTATGCATTTAATTACTACGAGGGTTGCCTTTTATATTTAGGAATTAGAGAACAAAAATAAATATTAATCAAAGAAAATCGCTTTATTGTTTTTCAAAATATTCTCCATAAAGATTTGTACACATCTGCATGCGTTTGAACCAATTGTCGAAACACGTTTACCACTCTATTGATGTATCTCCAAAACATACATTCTCAACGCATCAACCGCTTCTTCAGGTGTCGAAAAACGTTGACCTTTCAGTTTATATATTACGTACGGGAATAAAAAGAAGTCGTTCGGTGCCAAGTCAGGACTATACGGCGGATGACTCATCACATCGACGTTTTAAGTGCTCAAAAATGCAGTTGTTTGAGCCGATGTGTGAGCTCGCATTGTCGTGGTGAAGATCCGTCTTCGACGGTTGGATTTCCTCATTTCTTGGAAGACAACTGGCAAATAGTGGTACGGTTGCGACATGTCCAGTTTTTCCGAAAAAACAGGCGACCATTTTCTTGAAAGTGCTTTCTGCTTCGATGTTGGATTTGGCTCATCTTAAAACACCCACACAGTCGATTGCTGTTTACTTTCGGGCTCATACGCGTAAATCCACGATTCGTTACCTGTCACTATGTCATAGACGTGTTTCGAAGCACCGCGATCGTATGTTTTTAGCATTTCTTTCAACCAATCGATACGAGCCTTTTATAAACGATTGACAAATTGTGTGGGATCCAACGCAAACAAATTTTTTTGACAGTCAAATGTTCATTCAATATTGAATGTATACTGGTCCCACTAATGCCTAAGGTTGTCTCAATCTAACGATAGGTCACATGACGATCTTTCAATATCGGTTCGCGCACAGCATCATTGGTTTCCGGAACAACACCTGATTTTGGACGACCTTCACGAAATTCGTCTTGAAGCGAACTACGACCTCGATTGAATTCACCATACCATCGATAAACACTGGTACTTGATGGAGCTTCATCGCCAAAAATTGATTAAGTTCATCAAGGCACTGTTGCCGAGTTAAGCCACGTCGAAAATTATAAAAAATAATCGCACAAAAATGTTCACGATTGAATTTCATTTTTTGGCCGAGATGAATCTTTTAAGGTGATTACAGCACCCCCTTATAATTTTCGGACAAGGATATCTCAAAAAGTAATTTTTTTAAAAAATTAAAATTTTGGCAAACTATATTAGGCAATAATATCTAAAATATGCATATATTTTAAAATTTTAATTCCTTCCAGTTTCCGAGAAAAAAATCAAAGGGCTTTAAATTTTGAAATATCATAATGAAAATAAATGCATTCCTCAACAGCACCATTCTTAATATAATCCCCAAATTTTAGCTCTTACTCTCTTGTTAATGATTTTTTAAAATTCGCCGAAGTTTGTGGCTAAAACGCCTCGTTAAGTGCTTCTTTCTAGTGTAACGCGTCGTATCGTACACTCTGAGTCTTCATTCGTTTCTTGCAACGATTTACACTAGTTTACACCAGTTTAAACCAGAAAATAGCACTTAACGAAGCGTTAGCCACTAATTTCGGCGAATTTTAAAAAATTCTTAACAAGAGATTAAGAGCTTAAATTTGGGGATTATATTAATAATAGTGCTGTTGAGAAATGCATTTATTTTCATTATGATATTTCAAAATTTAAAGCCCTTTGATTTTTTTTCTCGGAAGCTGGAAGGAATTAAAACTTTAAAAAATATGCATATTCTAGATATTATTGCCTAATTTATTTTGCCCAAATTTAAATTTTCTAAAAAAATTACTTTTGGAGATATCATTGTCCAAAAATTATGAGGGGGTGCTGTAATCACCTTATGTTACTGTAAACAACACAAATAGCGCTCAATATGTCAAAACCTTCTGAGTATGCATGACCTCAAAAATGTCCAACTTTATGACAGAGCTGTCAGTTGCCAGTTTGCAATACTAGGGTTGTCCAATCCCGAAATATAAAAGGCAACCCTCCGATAGTACTTATCTAAATTGCATCTCATTTTCAACTACTGATTTTGTATTTGTTTTATTGTAAATATATTATGTAAAAAACAGACTACATAAGTACCTATGTATTCTCTGTAAATTTGTAAGCATCTTCCTATGTGAAAAACAACTAAATTACTGAAGTTTCTTTTTATTTGATTTACGAAAAGTTATTGCTGAATCTCCGCTTAACTTTTCTCGTTCTAAAATTCTGCTGTAGGAATTGGCCTAAAGCAATTTGGCACAACTGCCACAACGATCATAAAAGTTGACCAATATTGAGTTTTTGTAATAATCTTGACCCTGGACTTGCACAGCATTTTAATAATATGCGACCTAATTTTTGCGAAAAGCTTTACAAACATGAGAAATTGAAGAACTGTTTTATTATAATAATAATTTATAGTAAGAAAAATAAATTGAATATTTGACATGTTTTAAATTAGAACAGATAGAATGGGAGCTATAAAAGTCTATGTTTTTATTTAAATTATTTCATTGCATTAAGTATGTGTCATGTGCCTCCTTCTCTTCTTCTTGTCTATATACAGGGTCGTAGGGTAATTTTTTAAAATACGTTTTCTCTATGAATCTCTCAGCGACAAACAGCAGGTTTTGACTAGTTCTATTTGCCCCTAGAGAATGCACAATTCGTTTAATGACCTAGAGGTAATAAAATGTAACCAAAAATTTTCATAATAATAAAAGTGGGTACCTATTTCAACCAAAATCTATTTTTATGCTGTTTGATTAATGTGAACAGCTGTGGTCGTAATAAGGAAGGTTGAAATTCAATATTGATGGACGTCAACCAGTTTATCATTTCAGCTTTTCTTGAATTTGAATTCGGAGCAGGATTTTCTATAACAATGTGATACAGTGAATTATCCTCAACTACAATAGCATTTGGTGGTAATTTGGTTTTAACAGTTCTCTTAGCCACTTTTCATAATTTTCTTGATTTATATCATTATGATAATTACCAGATTTGGCCCCAGATAGAAACATTAATAAACTGTTAGAAATAAAACCCATGTTACCACCAGCATAAACTATAATAAGTCTCTTTCCTTTCGAAATGATGTAAAACAAACCTTCTGCATTATCATCACCCCAATTATGTGATGATATATGGCTACTATGTATGTAAGTTTCATCAATATATGCAATGAGACAGTTTTGAGAAAGAAAATATATAATTTTTATATTCTATTCTTTTTTCTCTGATGTCAAGCCGTTCTATTAGAACCTGTGCGCTGTTTCGCGTTTTTCGCCACTTGAACCCAATTTTTTTTAAATAGTTCTTAATGATGTGTAGCTCCCTTTCCACTCAATTTCCTTTTTTAATTTTTCACTAAGAGTTTTTACTGTTACGCGCATATCTGAAATCTATAAACTATATCTCTGATTGTTCCAATATTGTAGGATGGAATATCTGCTACACTTGATGTTCTTTTGCGCTTTTTTGGACTTTTAAAGAGAATTTTTCATTAAATTGTCATAAGATATTTATCTCTTTATAAACATACTATCAAAGTCTTATTTTAATAATATTTTCGAACAATTTCCTTGATTTAAGTTTAGAGGGTACTCATCAGCTTCTTATAACAAAATATATAATAAAATAGTGAAAACATCGTACCGTTTGTATGTACCTCAGATGTACGTACCTTCCTCTGCAAGACAACGATGTTGCAATTTTTCTACTTAGTTTCTATCTAGACTTTCCAGATGGCAGCATCCTATGTACAATCTTAGCAAACGTTTCCTGAAGTAATTTAGCAAAAATAGAAGAATGTATTTTTGCATTTAAGGTTTTAAATATGATAAAAAAAAATATTGGCAAGTCCATATCAAATATTTTTTAAATATTATGAATTAAAAGTAAAACAAAATATAGACGTTGCAATATTCTTTATTTTACTCTAAACCTATTTTTAAAAATAATTCATGAAAATACCATCTCTTAGCACTGTATTTCGTTTGTTAGAAAAACCGCTGCGACTTATCATTGACATTCAACTATTTTTCTTTAATCTAGAATCTCGCCTCTTAATAAAAAACAAACATGTACCTTCTTTAGATAAGTATGTGTTAATTTCATAGAAAAGGCTAGAATCAAACAATCAGTAATTGATTAAAAAACTTTTATTAATATTTTTTTTTTTTTCAGAGGAATGTACGGCTGACCGCTGCAGCCACGTGCCCTGTCAACATGGCGGCAAATGCCTTACTAGCGATAATTCAGCCATCTGTCTGTGCCCGTTGGGGTTTTCCGGGGACTTGTGCGAGATCCGGGTTGATTTACAGGTAATGAAACATTCTTTTAGCGTTATCGACTCCATTGCCGCCTCGAATGAGATCTATCGGTTTCCACTTCACCTACCCATGATTGTTTTCCATTTGGGAGTTTTGCGATTCAATTCTGATAGGAAGAATGAAATGAAATGCTGGAAAATATTTTTTAGTTTTCGTTTTCCTTCGTAATTTAAAAATTTGTATATTAATCAAATTTAAGAGCAGTAAATTTAAGGCAGAAATGATATCTACATTATCAACTTGTCGATATCCCATCGACAATAAAACAATTTTGTTCATTTAAAAATATTATAGCTACGTTGAAATATTTGTTCCTTTGAAAAACCTCTAGATATTCTTAAGATTGCAACTTGTTCTGAAAAATCAAACAAAGAAACCTTCCCATCATAAAATACATCCCATTTATGAACATCTTCACTTGTTTGTATGTGAGAAACAACTAGTATTAGACCTAGATCTAACATAATTATTTCTTTTTGATATGTTACTTTCTCATCTGTTTCTACTTGAATATTAACTACATGATAAGACAAATGAATTAATCTAGTATCAATGCGTTTAAAAGCTGGATCTGATTTATTTCTAGTAAAATTATCTATTTAGGTTTTTCGACTTCTTGATTACACTTATTATTTTAGGTCCCTTCCTTCAACGGTTCCAGCCATCTAAGGTACCGAGGATTAGCCGAAAGTGCCCTGACTTGGCTTGATTTGGACGTAACATTTAAACCCACGTCTCCGGATGGTCTCCTTATCTACAACGGTCATCGAATAGACGGATCTGGTGACTTTATTGCGTTATATCTGGAGGACGCCTACATAATATTTACATACAATTTGGGTACTGGTGCTGTATCGGTGAAGACTCAGCATAAAGTGTCAATTGGGGAATGGCATCAGGTACTGAATATATTTGATACCAAACTAGATTTTATTTAATTTAAAAATGTTTTAGCTAAGAATATCGCGTACTGGTCGTTTAGCTATACTTTCCGTAGACAACCAGCTTCCTGTGGAAGTGCTAAGTCCTGGAGCTTTTACTCAGCTTTCCCTGCCGCAAAATATGTATCTAGGAGGCGTTCCAAACTTTGGTATAGTATCGCCGCTAGTTTCTGCAAAATCTTCTTTCGTCGGATGCATCCAGCAGGTGGAAATTAATGGTAATCCAGTTGCAATCCTTGCTGAAGCTCTAGGAGGCGCTAACGTTGATAATTGTCCGCATCCTTGTGTCGCTAGACCTTGTGGGGAAGATGGGGAATGTATACCTGAAATGGAGTATTTTTCGTGCAAGTAAGTTTACTGAATTTAAGTAAATAAGACTTTTAGATTAACTGAATTTTTCCAAGCTGTAATAGTAATTTTTATTTATCATGAAAGTACAATAATATCTAAAATACGTATATTAATAATAAAAGGAAAATTCTGAGCGTGGGTGAGAAATTTTAATTCTATTTTCATGCTACAATAACGATAATATTTATGTAAAATAATTTAAAAAGAGAGAGTTCGCGAAACGGAATTTTTGGATCGGCCATCTATTTACTTTTCAGGATTAAGCCTAAGAGATTTTCTCACTGTTTATAATAAAATTTTTAGGCTTTCAGATACTTTTTTGAAACGATTTATGGCATGCTGAATATCGCAAATGTGAACCTTAATATAAAGCATTACGATTATCAGAACGGTTGTCTCGAAATCAAAATAATAGAACTTGAAGTAAAGAGTTGCTATTCAAAGTCAGAATTATTGATTGAGAACATGTATTTAGGACCAAGTAGGGTTGAATTTAAAATACTTATGTCTGATTAATTATTAGGTTAGTTGGCAGACCATTGCATGTACAAAGGATGTGTACAATAAGATTAAACTGTAGAGAAAATCCTTTGTTAAATTTGCAAATACTTAGTATAGTGAGTTTGGAGAGTATTGGCAGACTCTAGCCAATATAAAAGAGATTTCTTAAATAAATGTTTATTAAAATATACAGGGTGTTTCTAAATTCATGCGACAAAATTCGGGAGGTGATTACTCGTATGAAATTAAGATGGGTCTTTCCTATAACAAAATTTCCTCAGCCTACCCCTTTCCGAGATATCACCCGTAAAAGGTGGTGACTAAAATTGAGTTATTTTTTTTTTCTAAAATTTCAGTAAAGCTAGAAACTTCAAATTCTGTAATTTTCGTGAACTCGCAAAGGACCTTCGAGCATATATCAAAGGACTAACCACAGGTATTTTTTCAATATTCCTGTTACATTATAGGGGGTAAAATTAGCAACCCTTACTTTATTTCATATCAAAACTTTTTTTCGAAATGAAGTTTTATGAAATAAAATTATAACTTGAAATCCTTGTTTTATTTAATTTTTTTTTATTCTAAATTTTTTTCCCCAAAACCAATAGTTACAGAGAAAAAAAAATAAACACGATAATTTATAATTTTTGTAATAAATTGAGTGGAAAACAGTAAAGATGTAAAATGTAATACGATTCATAATATTGAAAAAATACCCGTGGTTAGTCCTTTGCGAGTGCACGAAAATTACAAAATTTCAAGTTTCTAGCTTTACTGAAATTTTAGAAAAAAAAATTTTAGTCACCACTTTTTAAGGGTGATATCTCGGAAAGGGATGGGCTGAGGAAATTTTGTTATAGGAAAGACCCACCTTAATTTCATACGAGCAATCACCTCCTGAATTTTGTCGCATAAATTTAGACACACCCTGTATATGAAGATTATCAAGATTAAAATTTTTATAGTAGATACTGTGATATATAGACTTAAGTTTTTTTATTGTTTCGTTTTAGTTCTATTAACCTAATACGAAATAAATACGAAATAAATACGAAATAAATACGAAATAAATACGAAATAAATACGAAATAAATACGAAATAAATACGAAATAAATACGAAATAAATACGTAATAAATACGAAATAAATACGAAATAAATACGAAATAAATACGAAATAAATACGAAATAAATACGAAATAAATACGAAATAAATACGAAATAAATACGAAATAAATACGAAATAAATACGAAATAAATACGAAATAAATACGAAATAAATACGAAATAAATACGAAATAAATACGAAATAAATACGAAATAAATACGAAATAAATACGAAATAAATACGAAATAAATACGAAATAAATACGAAATAAATACGAAATAAATACGAAATAAATACGAAATAAATACGAAATAAATACGAAATAAATACGAAATAAATACGAAATAAATACGAAATAAATACGAAATAAATACGAAATAAATACGAAATAAATACGAAATAAATACGAAATAAATACGAAATAAATACGAAATAAATACGAAATAAATACGAAATAAATACGAAATAAATACGAAATAAATACGAAATAAATACGAAATAAATACGAAATAAATACGAAATAAATACGAAATAAATACGAAATAAATACGAAATAAATACGAAATAAATACGAAATAAATACGAAATAAATACGAAATAAATACGAAATAAATACGAAATAAATACGAAATAAATACGAAATAAATACGAAATAAATACGAAATAAATACGAAATAAATACGAAATAAATACGAAATAAATACGAAATAAATACGAAATAAATACGAAATAAATACGAAATAAATACGAAATAAATACGAAATAAATACGAAATAAATACGAAATAAATACGAAATAAATACGAAATAAATACGAAATAAATACGAAATAAATACGAAATAAATACGAAATAAATACGAAATAAATACGAAATAAATACGAAATAAATACGAAATAAATACGAAATAAATACGAAATAAATACGAAGTAAATACGAAGTAAATACGAAATAAATACGAAATAAATACGAAATAAATACGAAATAAATACGAAATAAATACATAAATCAATTAAAAAATGTGATGTGGGCATTCTATAATATCTAATTGGTTAAGTAATGTATATTATTTAATTGAATTATTTAAATTTTCCAAATAATATTAAATTTTCTGGATTTGCTATCTACAAACTTTTTAGTACTTTATTTCATTTTACTACGGATTATTTGTTTAATTTTTAACTTTTCCCCCTTTTATAGAGCACTTTCAATTAATTTTAACTTAAATAATTTTGTTTTTTTTTTTACTTTTTTCTTTTTTTTTTATTTTTTTTTACTCTTTTTCTTTTTTTTTATTTTTTCTTTTTTTCTTTTCTTCTTTTTCTTTTTTTCTTTTCTTCTTTTTTCTTTTCTTCTCTTTTCTTTTTTCTAATTTAGTTTTTCCAGCCATTTTATTATATGTCGTCTAAGTGAAATTGTTAATGTCCTTATTTGTGCAAACCTATTTTTATTTAGTTGGTAGCTATGTTTGACAATAATAGATAAAAATAAATAAATATATATAAAAATATATAAAAAATATATAAAAATATATAAAAATATATAAAAATATATAAAAATATATAAAAAATATAAAAATATATAAAAAATATAAAAATATATAAAAAATATAAAAATATATAAAAATATATAAAAATATATAAAAATATATAAAAATATATAAAAATATATAAAAATTTATAAAAATATATAAAAATATATAAAAATATATAAAACTAAATAAAAATAATGAAAAACAAACAAGTAAAATTTCTTACGCCCTAGCTTGAAAAATATGAGTGAATTGATAAAAACGACATATCTGGATATCCCGACATCTCAACAGCCTAGGGGAGGACTACTTTTCCCACGGACAGTTTTATGTGTCCTGAGAGTCAATTCCGCGTTCAATCTGGGGATATTAGCAGATAAGAGCCTTCAATATATTCATAGATCGAGTCAAATCTCTCATTTTCAAGATGGACTTATAAACTACACAAATTAGATTGAGATACCTTTCTGAAAGTAACCTTTCTGTTATTTTATGTTAGCATGTTAGCAATTATTACATAGTGAAGTTATTTTTAAAATCAAACTACATAGTAAGACCAAGATGATCTTCAAGATGTACTTTCTTTGTAAGGACAAGATAAATTGGTTAAAAATTAATAAACTTTTGTTTTTGCAATTATTAAGTCTTTATCACTAAAAATTCGTATCAGACACCATTTTCGCAGTACAAAATTAAGATCTAATTAATTATACCTTTTTTAGATGTAAACCGGGCTACAGGGACCATTTATGTTCGAGGGGACCGCCATTTTTCCACGGCACAAACAGCTACATCCACCTTAAGGACATCTCCACCATGGACGCCATTTCCTCGGATCATTTCGTGGTAAATGTCAGATTTAAAATCACCTCCCAGACCGGTTTGCTATTGTGCGCCTTCGGAGGGGGTAGCTTTCTTTCTTTGGGGTTGGAGGACGGAGCTCTGGTGCTTCGATTCAGCATCAAAGAAGGCGAAGAGGAAATCAAAGTAGTTCATAATTCGAGTACGGTGCACGATCGGCTGTGGCATCGAGTTAAAGCTGTCAGGTGAGAATTTTTTACTGTTCACTGTATTTTTAATATCCAAACAAAACTCGGGAGTGTTTATTAGTATGTATAACAACAAAAATATATTGCATTTGCTAGATTTATTCATCAAACTTAATTGATAAAAAAATTGGGATAAGTATTTAAATTTTATCGATATTTTTAAAATAGATGTTGTTCAAAATTGATCGTTCAGGAGGTTTACAAATGCTACATACCAAGGCCAACTTCACAATATATCCCCTATAGTAGTGCATCTCACTTGTTAAAGAGTTGGCACTAAGTTTGCAGCGCAAGAATGCGTCTGTGTCTGGCCGCTCAACTAACTCGATATGGCGGTAAATTCAAATATAATTTAAAGGCGAAATTTAAATTTCCCGCCAAAATTGTAAATTTTCAGCCGCGGAATGGCGGGAATTTTTAAATATATTCATTCGGCAATAATTATTGAGAAGTATATTGCATGTTCGATTAAACGAGCTGTAAATCCAGGCGCTATTTTTATTTTGATAGCTAAAAATAATACTAATTCTTTTATTATTAGCTATTACAATAAGAGCAGCATTTGGATTAACAACACATTTAAAAGAACATGTAATATACTTTTCAATTTTACCTAAATCACTTATTTTTTACCTATAGAGGTTAGATCTGAAAAAAAATTGGCTCTGGTAAAAAAAACAAAAAATTGTATAAAGTATTTTATTTGAAAAATTATAAAACTTATTTAATATATTTTAAAGACGAAGATAACTCTAGCCATATCCATTTTACTGAAAAAAAAAAAAAAAAAGAAACTATTAAATGAAATCATTTAGTTATTAAGAGATGTTTGTGATAATACAGTGGCAGCTATCGAATGTTGTACAATACGTTTTGCTAATGTCCAAGTAAAAACTACAAAGAGTTAGCATTAGTGGGAGAAGGAATAGAATACTATGAACGTAGCCAGCTGGCTACGTGGGGATGCATCACACCGTGTGCCTGTTCATATTACACAGCACACAAGGCAACATTCATATTATTCGTTTCCTGATCGAACTAATGCGCTAACTCTTTAGTTTTATTTTCGATTCTAGCCAAGCGTATTGGAAAGTGTTCATTAGCCGATACTGTATATAAATGCTAAAATCAATAAGTGAAATAAAAAAATTTAGTTTAGATGGACATCTACTTCAAAAAAAGTAATTATTATACTTGAATTTTAAAGGCTGTTGCCACTGGAAAACTATTATCTAGGGCTTGGATGACAGCCATAGGACTCCCTCCTTGAATCGTGTCCATAGGAAAGCATAAGATCATAGTTAAATTATAATATTAAGAGGGTAGGTATTAACTGAAAAAATATGAAAAATTATTACAAACTTACCTCAAAATTGGCACCTACATTAAAAGAAGGGAAAACGGAAACATAAAATTGTTATACTTGAATTTTAAAGGCTTTTCCCACTGGAACAGTATTATCTAGGGCGCAGACCCTTGGATGACAGCCATAGATAGCAATCCCTCCTTGATTCCTCTTTTTCTGAGTTTGTTGTACGTTTTGTTTCCCATATTAAATAAGAAAGCACTTAATACAACAACAAATCACAATAAATATCGCTGAAACAAAATTAATATTAAATTTCGTAGAAGAAAAAATTATCACTTGTCAACACTGACATTTCACGCTTCACTTATAAAAACTCAACGCTAAAGAATGAAAGATGATTCGAAATAGGAATTATTAACTGGTATCTCTTTCTTTTATAAGTATCTAAACAAAGAGAAGGAGTGGGAGTGAGTAACGCTCCGATCAGATTGTTTTGAATTCGTCGTCAACCAATGAACGTGCCGATGTCAAAAATCAATAACGATACTAGCGCCATGAGACCTGTGTCTGGCCGCAGCGTAACTCAAAGCCATTTCTTGAATCCCAGTTACATTACTATAGGGGATATATTGTGGCCAACTTCGATATGATGCCCTAGAGTGGAGAGGGCATGAAAAGAGTCCTGTCAAGTCAGAAAGAGAATATAGTAACATCTCGAACGCACTCTTTCACTCAGAGTAAAAATCATAACCTCAATCCAGTATGTCAGTCAACGGTCAGTTAATTATTATGCATTACAATAGAATAACATAAAATAAACTTTCAGAATTTACTTATAATAATCTTTATGAGTTATATAATTTTAAAATACAAATATTACCTAGCATAAACCCACAGAACAACAATATGTGCCTTTCATTGTCATAATTGACATTTTATTATTTAACTTCCCGACATATCTCGATCTTCTAACCCAGAGTTAAAAGAGTGCAGGAGTCCATACTCAGAGTCATATCGAACGCGGCAGATCACACTCCGAATCTCTAAAAAAACGCGAAAATGAACTCAGAGCAATCTAAGTTTCTACTCGAACTCACAGCAAGAGTTCAGGAAATATCACCTGTCCTTTAGCACGTAATTAACCTTATATTCGCAATTTCAGAACTGGATCGATAGGCCTCCTGTTAGTCGACAATGGTGCAGCTATAACCCGACAATCAGTCGATTTATCGAAGCAGAGAACGTTCAACCCGAAAGACGAAGGCCTATACATCGGAGGCATGCCTCAAACAGCCCTCCAATCGCTTACGAAGTACACCACCAGCATCGTGGGCTGCGTAGCCGATTTAGTCATCAATACGGACCTGCATCTGCAGCTGATCACCCATTCGGAAATAGGCCACAACATCAGTGAGTGCGAGGCATGAACGTGAACGCGTCAATTAAGAAATACATAAATATAAAAAAATAAAAATAAATAAAAAGTCAATATTTAGCGCAATTGAGACCAAACAAACTGACCGGCGCCCGAGGGCCTAGATTTTTTAGATGAAGTGTGTGAAAAAAAAGTAATTCTTCTATCTGGAACGTTTTCCTTAATCTTCACCTGAAAACATTTGTGTGCTATAATTGTGTGAACAAAAACATAAGGCTGATTACCGAGAGTTTCAACTAGTCGAGATGCGGTTATGACAATTGATAGTAGAGTAGCAACGGCTGTTGTTTTTGGTTTGACATCAAACGACTAAAAACTGGTACTGACCACGGTAACTAACAAAGGGCTAAAATGTATCAAAGTACGAGTAAAATCCATTTTACACTTTATAAAAAATATAATAAATTAAATTTCACGATTGCTCTTCTGACAAGTAAAAAGCGAGCTGCAATTGTTTGCTGTTAAGTGTTTCAGTGTCTTCAAGGTCAAACAATCATAATCCCTTTTGAAATATTCCTACAAAATACTTGATGTCATCCAAAATCAGCAATAAAGATTGCAGTACCGAGCTAGCAACTACATGCCATTAGGTCTTGATTTTTTGGACACCAGTTATGTCTTGTGAGCAAAAGTATAACGTATTATTCAATATGTCATTTGAAGAGGTTAAAATGATGTCATGCTACCTAGTCAAAATGACGTCATGGTATTTCATCAAAATGGTATTACTTTTTGGATAAGATATTCCAACAATAAGTTTCAATTATAATACCACAAGAGTTAGGAATTTTTTGAGAATGATTTTGTTTGATAAAACAACAAAAACTTTTAAAAAAAATTCTCACCCAGCGTATTACTTGGAAAGATTATTTAACAATACAAACAGAACTTTCAGCTAAAATTTAACGCAAATTTTATTTATTTACAAAATTATAATTAATACAAATGCAGTTATCATGATCAATATTTGCTTTATTTCCGTAAGATATAGCCGAAAAAGAAGTTATTTTTAATTTTTTGACAAATTTCATATCGACGTTCTGCACAAATTATTGATGTTACTCTGGTGATGAATTCATTTTTTAAAATCCAATTGGTATTGAGTGAAAACACTGCGACATTCAGTTTGGTGTGATTGGCGTGTGTTAAAAAAAGAAGATTGTCATTAGTTAATTTATTAGAGTGTTAAATAATCAGTACAATGTTATAATATATATTATATTCAATGAAAGTTAACAAAACGTAAATACTTCAAACCATAGGCAGAAAACTGTAAAAGTAACAAAATGAAAAGGTAACCAAAAAGTCGAAGGGTGTAAACATATGCGTAATAAAAAACACTATATATAATACATGTATGATAACAAAATATACTAGTATAATAATCAATTTTCTAAATAAAAAGAGGTATATCAAAAGAGAAGTTTGAAACTTAATTAATTTTATTTTTCTGTGTTACTATCAACTCTTTGTGGTGCGTATTTATAAACAACATTTTGATGACATTTTCTATTTGCCTGGTTGTGATTAAAGCTGACGTAGATTTGATAGAAACTGTTAACAAATAGTCTTTAATCGTAAAATTTCAAAAGAAACTACAGATTAAGATATTTATAATATTTATAGATTTTCGCTTATTTCTATTATGAGGAAGCTTCCAACAAGAGCTTTTTACATTTCAAAAATTAAAACAACTTTACTTTGTGAACGTCTGAAAGCAACAACTTTTCTAAACTAAAGACCAAAGACCTTTTGTTGAGAGGTTCGGGAATCGTAACTTACGTGGATAAAGCACAAAGACTTATTATTGACTTATTATTCATTGGGACCTTAACAACCGATGCCAAATTTATCATTTAAGAGATATTTAAGAAGTCAATATTTATGGAAGATTTTGACAATCGTTCGTGCAACCGGCCTCTGAATTAACTTATCCTTATTATATTGTAAATATATTTTAAAAATATATAAAACTGAGAGAAACATCATAAATTTTTATATTTTCAGTGTCTATGTCATCTTTCTTCACACAACTATATTGCTTTACTGAGTTAACGAAATATTCAACAGATATACATATAGTCCACTAAAAAAATCTTCAACCGTTCCCTGATATGCCAATTTGATAGTTTTTAATATTTCTGTGGATTAAAATAAAAGAATAAGAAGATAATATAAAGATTTTTTTACACTCTAGACATATTTATAACTTGTAAACAAACAAATATAAATAGTCTAATTATTTTCTTAATAAAATTTAACAGTTTTTAGCAAAAATTGAATTTTTGTTGTCTAACTAAAAATTTTTTGTTGATAACAAAATATAATAAATATGAATCACTAATGAAGAGATGAAAATTCAAAATAGAAAACGAAATTTTATAAATAAACTGTAAGCATGAATAATGTTTATAAGTTGAGTAAGAATATCCGATTATCTGGTAAAAATACTCGCGTTTGGTAACACTGTTGCTTGCCGTAAATACACTAGCGATCCTAACGGATTTTTACTTGTTACCTGGATAAATTTGAGCTTTTGTTTTCCAAATGGTAGTTGGTTCACCGTGGTACTAACATATCATACTTTTTTCTAACTATTCTAACTCTAACTAAGGGAGTATTTAATGGTATTTGTTAATTTAATATTTTGGAGTAAACTTATTTATATCAATTTACATTAAATATAAAAATCCATCACGGCCTTAATTTTTGAAATTTTAAAATTTAAGCAATAATATAAAATATCTTTTGAAAGGCAATAAAGATGTTGACATATTTTATGTAATTAAAAATGAAACAACGAAGGTATACGAATTTAAATTAAGTAAAAAAGGTAAGCTAGTTTTTAGTCGTTTACATTAAAAAAAAGGTTTATTCTGAAATTTTCTAAGATATGGGTTGTATATTTCATTCTATCACGTATTTACCACAAGAATCCATTTTGATTGGATGATGTTGATAAATTAAATAAAATATAAATAATTAACCACTACATATTTTTTTTCACAATTTGTTCTTCTGTTAATTTACTTCTTATTCTTATTAAACTTCTATAAACTTTTTCGTATTTGCTACTCTACTATGACGTGCCTTAAAAACTGTATCACAAATCATAAATTCTTTAAAAGGCCATAATTTTTGTGTCCGTATCTTCAACATTAAAGGCTTAGTTCTGCTATTTAAATTATAAAATATAATACAGTTTAATACATAGATGCTTCAACCAAAGATTACCGTTCAGTACTACAACTGTTCTATTTAAAAGATTAAAAATTTAATACAGATCTTTTTGTATTTTTCCTATTTTTTGTATAAAACTTGAACATGAATTAGAAAAACGTTTTAATCAATAAATTATTTCTTTACCTTGGGTTAAGTTTTTTTATTGACCAATTTTAAAGGAAGCATGTTTTTTAATTAAAAAAAAATCTATCAAAAATATTAAATAGCAGATTTAGGTCAACCCAGGTCATATAAACGGTAGATTATATATAAATGTATATTGTCCGCCAACAGAGGCACAATTCGAGGGATTTGTGTTTAGGATTGTAGATAAAAAAAAAATATAAATAAAAAGAGTAATGATAAGATCGGGCTTTTGTACGTTTTTCATGTTCTTTTTATATTTTTCAAACGTGGACAAATATCTATGAGGCTTTAAAATGTTCAGACTGCATTTGATCGATTTGGTTGTATTTATGCTGGATGTCTTCCAATCAAAAATAACGCATTTTTGTTTCGTAAAATTCATAATTTTATTGGGACTAAGAATCTTTAAAAATGGTTATAAGAACAAATATCAACCTTATTGTTATTTCAACTTCGAATTCACAGTTTTAAAGGTCCAGACTCTAACTTTGCTCTAACCACTGAGGTGAATGCGTTTGATATGACCCATGTATTTTGGCGAGCTTAGTTATAATCTGTTCTTCTTTTCTCTTCTCCTTTCATTACTTTTCTCCATTTATATGGGTTTTTATCAGCCCTGTGGTCTCTTATTATTTTTGGTTGGATATATGTCCCTGGCTTTCCGAGGTTATATACCATGTTTTCTTTGGCTAACGATTTTGTGGTAATGCCTTTCACTCTCATTGTTGTATCTGCCTTTGACCTCCATCTTTATTCTAAACTATGCTAACTTTCTAATTCATCCAACTACACCGATCTTCTCTAATGTTTCTGATATTATTTGGTATATTTCCTATCTATGGCGTCCATTCAGCAAATCTACTGTCAATTAAATAAAAAGGTTATTTTGTATTTCCCAATGCAGTCTTTTCTGTTTATCTTTGATTACTTTTCTCCATTTATATGGGTTTTTATCAACTCGGTGACTTCTTGTTATTATTTTTGGTTGGATTATATGCTCTCTGGCATTTCGAGGTTGTATACCATGTTTTCTTTGGATAACGATTTTGTGGTAATGCCTTTCACTCTCATTGTTGTATCTGCCTTTTACTTCCATCTTTACTCTAAACTATGTTAGCTTTCTAATTCATCCAACTACAGTGATCTTCTCTAATGTTTCTGATATCATTTGGTATATTTACCATCCAGCAAATCTACTGTCAATTAGATAAAAAGATGATTTTGTATTTCCCAATGCAGTCTGGGTGTATTTTTAATGAAACGCAAGCACATAATAAAAACTAACCATATCATTTAGATAAGGATCTTTTACACATTTGTCGCAGCTTTGCTGAACTGTCCTCGCAAACTTTTCGTTAAAGATATTTCTCTACGTTCTTCCGTTTCACATTTTTGCAATAAAATTAGGTACTAATTGGTCCAGTGTAAAACTCACCTTGTTATAAACTATGTATATGAACTCTTATTTGTACAGGTAGTATAATTTGTGTGTTAATAAATGCTTTTGATCTATGTTTCTGTTTTATTTAAGTACAAATTTTGCGAAACAAGAAGTATAATAGACATTAAATTATACAGTAGATACAGTATACTGCTTGGGGTCACTGGCGGCCCGTGATATTTTAAAAAGGGTGTTCACAATTTTAAATTTGGTGCTCTTTAGAAAAAAAATTATATAATTTTCACAACGACGTATACAATATTAATACGTCGAATAATGCAGTGTAAGAAAAAAAGGCCAAATTTAAATTATGGAAATAATGAGAAAATATGCTTACCTAATACACTCAGTTGTCAAACTACAAACTACCCATCTCTAGACGGAGCCTGGAGTTTAATAAACCTTTCCAAATTAGAAATACATTGTACGCAATTTTTAATTATTATTGTTTGTTTAATACCATCTTTTGGAAACGATAACAAAATTAGAGAGAGATAAGAGTCAAATTATGTGAAGAAAATGCAGTTTGGTCTTAAGCTATTGATTATCAAAGGAAAAATGTTGGCTAGTAATAAAGAAAAGTCATACATCGTTGAAGTAAAGTACCTATGTAAGGAACTATTTGTCATTTTGGAATTATTTTAAAGATTACACTAAATAAATAAATAAAGCTTGATACATTTATCTCTGCATCTTGTGCTTATCCTAGATAAATCAAATTCTATCATATTGGAACATTATTCCTTTTTGGGAATTATAATATATCAGTAACAACTTGCAAATGGAATGTATCCTCCATAAAAAATTGTATCAGCAAAACACTTAATTCTCTATCTGACCCTTTCAATATTTATTTCACAATACATTCCAAACGAATAAGAAACAGAGGTAACATGATTGATAATGACAGGCGAACATCACTTTATATAAACTATTTTAATGTGCTATTTCTAAAGTTTTGTATTACATTAAATTCAAGTATGGTTGATCCATTTTTCCGATGCTTATTTGTAAAGTGACAACTGCAAAACTATTTAGGTCTCTTTATCTTATCTCCTATATACAACGTTTATTAATTGTTCGTTTCCTTATTTATGTCAAGTAGTTACCTTATCAGAATAATCCATTTTTTTCTTTCAACAGGTTTTGTAGGAAACAAAAAAAAAATAACAAACTTGTGGCTTACTTACAGTGGGTACAAAATATATGACTATTCTGCAGTAGTCTTAGATACTGGAAAACAAAATATAAAACATAAATTACAGTTGTAAAACTAAATTATTGTGTAAAATTATAGGTAAATAAAATAACAACCTCAAAAATACTTTTTTATGCCCATTATTTTAGAAAATGCTTTACCTTAAAGATAAAATAGTCTTATGTAGCTTTATATTTGTTCGTTGGTTTGTAAAAGTGTTTCCAGAATAAGTTTTTGATATGTACTAAATTTATCTAAAAACTGTAACAGATTTCGTAAATATACCAGATTTTTCAAATTCTATTTGCAGTGACGGTCTAATTCATTAAAGAGCAAAAAACGGATCTTTATAGAGAACGAACACAAACAAGGAAGACAACAATATATATTTTACACATCAACACTGGTGCTCGCCGGGAAAAAAGTACTAGATTTTGCTTCGATAATGTACTATATCTATTACGCCCGCCTTATTTTGTGATGTCACGCCTTGTTGATGTGCGATGCATAAAATAACGTGAATAATGTCAGGCCTATGCTAGTTCTCCCACTTTATATACAGAATTTGACAGTTTTGCCGCGGAGCTAACCGAAGTAAACCCGAAACTTTGGCGTAGGAAATTATTTTATAAATAGTTTAATAAATTGTGAATAGTTGTTGAATTTTTTTAGAATTATGATATGGGATATTATTACTTGTTTAAATAATGGCCTATAATAGTAAAATTTTTGTATTACTACATTTTTTACATTACCACTTATAAAGTACTTTAGCAAAATTTAGAAAATTTCAATTTGTTGCCGAATAACTACTTTATTTTCTGTTAGTCCCATCTCTGTGTGTATTCTAGTAAGAGTGAAATAGAAAAACTATTAGCGGTTCTTTTTTTAACAATTCTGGACTATTTATTAAGTGGTGTTGCAATAAAATAAAAACGGTAGCGTCGATTAAAATTTACTGACAGTATATTTTAAAATTTTTATAGTTGTCCAGGAATCATGAAAAAAGTTGCTTGTATTGTCATTCTCTACAATTTTGTTCCCCTACATGATTTTCCCAAAATATATTTGAGGAAAAGTGCAAATTTCGAATTTTAAAAACGGATAAAGAGAAAAACACCAAATTTAAACCCCAAGCTTTAGTCCATCCTGCGATGAGCTGATTAAAGTTTGGGAATAGTCGAAGCATCTAGGGAGTACTTTACAAGGTGTCGTTTTTTTTTACTTTATTTGCAGTATATTTATAAATATATTTTATTTAAGAAAAATAAACTTTCATCCTTTAAACAGATGGGTGAAAGTCGACCTTACTTCGAATTTTAGACCATATTATTTGCCGATTACAATACTTATAAAATATATTTGCAACTTTAAAAAATAAATAAGTACATTACGAAATTAATAAATTAGGTATATATTTTTTTAATACAATTTATTTATATGAAAACTTATTAACAATAATAGCAGTGTCGACGTTTTGTGCGGATCTTGTTTTGGATTTTCTTACAAATGGTCTCCTCTTCGGTACTGAGCATGAAAAAGAAAATTTATTAATTTCAAATTTTTTCTATTTTTTTTTTAATTTAATTTTTATTGGTTTCATTTATTTTATAAACAATTTTTATTATTTCACTTATATTGTTTAATTACTTTATTATTATGCCATATTACCTGGCAAAATGTGTTTTAAAACCAATTTCCAGCCTTTGGTCATTTAAAAAAAATAATTGCCTACATGTTTACTTCCAGGCTCTTATGTTTATTTTTACAACATAGATGATCAATCTATATAACTGTCTATATCATTAACCCTATCAAATCAGAAGGTTCATAGTGTTGCCATATTATAACCTATCAGTGGCCTGTTATGTCGAACGTGCAGCCATTTTGTTTGGAATGCATAATATTTCTTAAATTTAGACTGACTTGCTTATCCAAGTCCCACACTACTTAAACAAGTCGTTAACCACTTTTTCAAGTTGTAAATCACGACAGGTGGCGTCATCTAGCGGTAAAAATTGAATAAGTGAGTCTGAACCCTCATAGCTGCACTACTTTTTAAATTCCAATTATTATTTAAAAACAATATATTTATGAAATAATTTCTAAAGTTACTTACATCCCCTCCAAGCGATGAAATTAAGCGTTTCATCATGGACACCATTCAACGGATTAAATTTGTCTCCTTGAAGCAGTTGCGCAGATACAGCCTTTTGAAGGGGCGGAGGATAGTTTTTCGGTAAATCTAGAACAAAATAAAAATATTTTAACTTCCTATCTGTGAAGAGCTTTGTATGCATATTATTATTTATTACTTACCATCTATTACATCTGCTAAATTAATAGAGGTATTTGCATGTTTTGGCATCGATAACCTTCTTACTTCTAATCTCTTCAAAAATTCCCTTGAATTTTCAGATATAGGTTTTCCATCTAATACCTCTAAAAGTAAAGATATATTAAAATTAACGTGCATTGATGAATTTATCTGCAAATTTATAATTAAGAAAGGAGGTGTAATCTGCAGAACTGTACTGTACTTAAACAATAAGGCAGCAATATTATTTTACTTTATGTTACATGTTAAAAACTGCTTGTAACACTTTCATCTTTGATTTTTCTAAACGTCAAATCATCTAAATTAAATATGTGGCTCTTATTTAGGACGCTAAATCATTTAGATGGGTTGCATGTAGAAATTTTGTTGCTGTCAGAACATAAAAAAAAAAGAAAAATCTCTGTCATCTCTGCTGCGACAATTTATATTCATGTAAAGGCGCTAGCATGTTAAAAATACTTTATTAAAACGTATTAAATATCAATCAGTATCGTCTTACGTCATGAGGACGATATATTTATAATCTTAATCCTACTTGTATCAGTATCTGCAGTTGAAGAAGGTGCTCCTATTATGTACTCACCTAAATAGTAACAGTTAACGATAATATCTTCCCTGTATCTGTGATTTTTCGCAAACGGATTTCCACAAAAGAAAGCTACAGTTAAATATCTCCAATTTTTTAAGGTATCGCACACTTCTTTAATATCTTCAATATCGCAATTAGACGCGTCTATAGATTGGAGTTCTGTGAGAAATGATAATGAAGAAAACGATGGAATTCTATTACCAGATATGTTCAGAATCCTTAATGTTCTCTACAATATTTTTTTTATTAAGTATATACCAAACATCGATGACTAAGAGGACAAATAAGTTTAAAAGAATAATTTTGGAGGTGACATTGACGAGCTGTATACTTTGTATTAATATCGGACATCCCATATTCGATAAAAATAAGCATACAATATTTGTCCTCTTAGATATAATCATATAAATACTTACTGAAAGGCTTAAAGTACATCTTGGATCAAAACAAATACCCATTCCATCTGGTAACGTTTGATGTTCAACATGTAACTCTTCCAAACTGTACAACTCTTCTAGACCCTCTATAACTGCTATCTGGTTATAACCGATATATAGTTTCCTCAATCTGTCGAAAAGTAACTTATCTATTTTTTTAATTTTATTATTGTGAAGATAGAGGCATTTTAAGTTTGGAAATATATTTCCATTTAGATTTTCAACGACTTTGATCGCATTGTTGTACAAATATATAACACTCACTTCTTTTGAAGGAGTAAACTTAGGCTAAAATAAAAAAAATATTAAGAATTAATGAAGATATGACGTGTAGCCGTTAATGAAATAATTTAATAATATAAATTACGATATTATAGGTACATATCCAAGGAATATCCAATTAAGTCCTAGAATGATGCTCATAATAAATAAATTATGTGGAAGAGCTTGGAAAAGATAGAGATATACCGGCAGATTAGTTAGAGAGAGGTGGGATTATTGATAAGAATTGATATTTCAGTTTACAAAGAAAATTATTAAGGAAGTGTATTAGTTTTAAAACTACTTTATTTTAAAAAACATGAAATATTTGTAAAATGAAAAGAAGAAACTAAAAAGTGCGTAAAAAATACTACAGAATATATTTATGTACTTACAATGTCTTGTATGCCTTTTTCTTGTAAATACAGATGACTACACTTTTTTATTTTATTTACAACCTTTTTGGTGTCTTTATCTTTTGGCTTAGATTCACTCTTTTTAATTTCTAACATTTTCAATGTTGTATGATTCGATTTATCAAGAAAACTGACGTTTATAGCAATGCCGGCTGGTATTATTGAATGCCATAGTTACTGATAGGAATTTAATTAGTTTGATCGATAAATTGTAGTCTAGACGATAGGAGAAATATTTTGGAGTTTTTAATTACAATAATGTCCACGAATGTAAAAAATTTAGTATTGCATATGACAGACGTTCTATGAGAAAGCAGTGGTAGTTTATTGATGCAAATAATTTTATATTGAGATGCTGCAAAGCTATATTGCATCATTTTATTTGTTTCCGTTCCTTTTTATCTTTTTTATACCCGGTAGTTAGAATTTCACAGGATTCTGTATTAAAATGAACTGCTTGACTACAGTTAGGCTTCTTAAATATTATACTAATATGGTTTATGATGTTTTGACTCTTTTTTACTAATAAAAACAAGTTAAAAAAGTAATTTTAAAAAACGACTTTAAAATTGTGAAGATGCCATCACCACATCTTAGCCAAATTTATAGAGGACCACCCCTTAGGTTACCCCTTTTCTAACAAAAAAAGAATCATTGAAATCGGACACCGTATTAAAGAATTATCGCTGAACATACATAAAAAAAACATTACGACGAATTGAGAACCTCCTCCTTTTTTGAAGTCGGTTAAAAAGCAGTTTTTATCCCTCAAGACGGCGCTAAAATTAAAAGTAACGCAATGAGCAGTAATAGAGTTTAATTTCCCATAAAATTACTTTTTAAATAATGTTTTATACTTGGTACTTTCCCTATTTAAATTGTGTTTGTTATAGTGACGAAGAGGATAATGTTTGACAGTTAACATACAAAAGTTGGAAGAAAAATCGACTTGTTTTTTGCATTTGCCTTTTTTTAAATACTTCAAGATATTTAGTCCGTTCGTATTTATTTAATTTAGTTTTGCAAAAACCATATCACTCTTCAGGTGTTTTGTATCTTTCCTCCTGCAACCGTTGATCTATGCTTTAAGTACGACTGTTTTCGAAAATCAAAATACTTAATGTCTGTTCTCTTTGTTTTTCACTAATAGTTTTTGTAGCCAAACACTTCACAACCTGGCTAGTAACTACCCAGACAACACACCAAATCCCAGAGATATCCACAGAATATCTTTTGTGGATATCCAATATATCCACAGGATATCAGAAATATTCCGTGGATCTAATATGGATATCCAAATGTCCGTCTATATCCAGAATATAGAAGATATCCTATGGATATTCAGCAAAATATCTAATGAGTATCTTCCAGACAATACAAGAAATCCCAGAGATATCCACAGAATATATTTTGTGGATATCCAATATGGATATAGAATTCAGATATTCAGCAAAATATTTTATAGGTATCTTTAGTAGAGGTTCATAAGTAACCAATGATTATTGAATAACCTCGAAAGAAAATAGAGATAAAAAATATTTCCAACAATCTGCCTTTGATTTTGCCCACTATAAGGACACTAAGGAGAAAGTCATCCTTATTAGGACTCTTCAGCAATAAATGGAAATTCTCGACTCCAGTCTCTAATAGAGTGTGATTGCCAAAAAAATTCGATCGAACTCATTTACGGCGGGTTGAGCATGAGTAGATACGAAAGTGGTATCGCCATCTATACTTAGGAAGCAAAATCAAAAATTACATCTAGTAGATATCCACGATGGTTTGCGTCCGCGCTTAGACTTTGATATATTTATATTTATAGTGGATGTCCATGGGATATAGAATACACCTTAAAAAAATTAATTTTAAATATCTGAACGGTACTATTAGCCACAATGGCGAGCACAATGGCGTAATTTTTTAATAATTTGCTATATAATTACTATTATTTATGGACATTTGCATGTCTATAAATTACATTTCATGGATATAAAATAGATATCCACCATGGACTGGACATTCAGTGGATATCGGGATGTTCATTAGATATCCAAAGGATTTGGTGTGCTGTCTGGGTACACTTCCTAAAATAGTAGTTATTAATGTACCATTAGAAACTATTTTTCTTTAAAATACAGCATAAATGAGGCGTTTAGAGCAAAAGTGGCCCAATCCACATTTTTTTTTTTTTGAAATTGAGTTAACAACATAAATGCCCCACAAATAAATTACATTTTCTTTACGCAATACCGGCCCAAGCCTATTTCGACCATTCATCACAAGATGGCATATAAATTCACTTTGCGCACACATCGGTTATTTACTTAGGCAAGATCAGCGCAATCCACTTCTAGATTGTAGGCCGCTGTTGCATTCAGTGGTGACGCATATTTGACCGCGTGTTTGTTGTTATTGTGCTAGCATACCTTTTATCCGTCACATTAAAGTGTATGTAAAAAATGCAAAGACGTATGTCTGGTAGTGACGAAAGTAGCTTTGGTAAGTAAATTATGATGTTTTTGCTTGTAAAGTAGTAAGTAATAATAGTTTTAGTGCATAAAAAGCCATATTTGAAGGTTATGTTAAATACTGTGTTTTAGTGTTCTTTGCTTGGGCCACTTTTGCACTTAAATTTGTTTGTTACAGATATGGAAGAGCCTTTTCAGGACTCAGGTTCTGAGTTTGTTCCTTCTGATAATTGCAGTGAAGCTAGCAATCTCTCTGGTTAGTTTATATTTCTTAGTTTCTTATTATGTTTATCTCTATTGATTTTTTGTTTATACTGCAGACAGAGAAGGCACTTCCAGCGAGCCAGTTATTAGTCAGTGAGCAAAAAGAAAGACAGTGGAAGAGAAATATTGGAAAAAGAAAGCGTGCTGCTGGCGAAGAATACGTTAACACCAGGGAGAGGGTGATTCCTTCTAAGAGTATTGAAGCCAAAGATTGCCCGTGTTCAAAGAAGTGTCATGAAAATTTTTCGCAGAAGTGGCGTGAGGATTTGTTTAAAAATTTTTATAGATTGGGATCTCATACCTAGCAAAGTTCTTATATTTTTGGACATGTCAGAGTTCTAAACAATGAACGTACGAATACAACGGAAAATAGAAAACCAAAGGAACACAGTAGGTGTTATATTTTGCCAGATGAAAAAGGAGAAGACAAAAAAGTTTGCAAAACTTTTTTAAGCAGTCGTTGGATGTGTTGGATGGCCGCATAACTAGGGTATTGAAATCGAAAAGCACTACTGGAACACCACAGCCTGATAAACGTGGAAAATCAACATCTGTTAATAAAACGTCTCTGGAAAAAGTCACTGCTGTAAAAGGTTTTATTAATAAATTACTGGCGTCCCATTATTCTTTAAAAAAAATCCAAATGTCAGATATCTTTCTTCAGAACTAGACCTTAACAAGATGTACAATTTGTATAAGAATGAAACTGAATAACCCGTGTCACTGTTTGTTTTTCGTCAAATGTGATGTATTTGATATTAAAATTAAGTCAGCTATAGCAGATGGCCAGGAATGTAAGGTAATTAAAGCGGAACAAGAGCTGCACGATGCTAAAGCTGCAAAATCGGACACTGATATCACATTAATTTAATTTGATTTAATAAAAACATTGGCAATGCCAATCATTTCAACAGGAGTTGCGTACTATAAAAGGCAACTTTGGACGTTTTGTTTTGGGATTCATGATCTCCAAACTGGCAAGGTACATAAGGGACGAGAATATCGCATCACGGAGTCCCCAGGAAATTGATTCGTGTATTGCACACTACATTAAGAACTTTTTTTCCACAAAAAAGTTAATAATGTACAGCGAGCAGTGCGGTGGTCAAAATAGAAATTTTAAAATGGCTGCCCTTTGTACTTACATGACCTTATCCAGCGACTACAAAGTTGACATTATTGACCACAAATTTTTAGTATCTGGTTATTCTTACCTCACTAACGACCAGGACTTTGGTCTAATTTAAAAAAAAAATATATATGTTCCCAATGATTGGGTGCAAGTAGTTCTTGAAACCAAGAAAAAAAATCCATTTAGAGTAGTAGTTATGACACCCAGCGACTTTTTCTCAACAAACGAACTAGAAAAAGCATTAACCAATCGTAAAAAAAACGGCAGCTGATAAAAAAGTTGAGTGGTTACGTATACAGTGGCTGCGGCATGAGAAAGAAAAACCTGGAATTATCCAATATAAGTATTCCAATAACGAAGTTGTTTTATTTAACGAAGTTAATGTAAAAAAACGGGACAAGCAAACTTTTCAAGACATGGCCAAACTTCTTCCTTTGTTTGAGGGACCCAAGCCCATACAAGAAAAGAAATACCAAGATTTGTTATCTTTGCTTGATTATATTCCACCAGTAAACCATGAATTTTATGGAAAACTGGTTCACAAGATAACAGGGAGGAAAAAAATGAATAAAAGACTTTCAGTTAAGTTTTTTTTTAAATTGTCTTATAATTTACCTCAAAATAAATTATTTCGCTTCAAAATCTCTTTTTATTCCGAAGTCAGTCAAAAAAAAAAGGCTACGCAAAAGTGGCCCAAGCCACATTCAAAATCTTATTTATCAAAAAAATGGGTTAAAACACTATGCATAATATCCTAACGTTTACCTGACTGTAAATAAATTTAAAATCTCTTAAAATCACTTCTAATAATGACGTGATTAATATTCAAATATTTTGATAATTTTCTTTTGCTATTTTCTTCATAATAAATATTTTGGGCTTGGGCCACTTTTGCGCTCAACGTCTTAAATATGACATAACCTAACTCTATATCAATTATACTATCAATTTAATTACATGTTAATTGAATAATACGTACCAATAATTACTAAAAAGACATCTTGATATATAGAAATAATATTAAATTTTAAAATAAATATATCTATACAATCCTAAGCACCATTAGGAAGATATTAAAATAACTTAAAATCTTGCTTTTTAACATTGAAGACATAGGCATAATAAAAATCATGCGAAAGACTGACCGAATTTCGTACTGCTAACCGCTTCACCTGTATTTTTCCACCATGATTAAATGTAAGAATTGCTTCTGACTAAATCCCTCCCTTTTTATGTACACTTTTATTTTGAGTATACAATAAAGACGTTTTATTATTTTTATTAATAATATAAAAATACAGGCCCCACGTTGGACGGCAAAAATAAAGTAACCAACAAATTGTTAATTCCGTTGAAAGACTCCAATTTAAACAAACGTCTGTTGTATTATGATACCATTTTAAAATTAATTGATCCGTAATTTTTTCGTAGCCTACTCTGTATTTACTCTAAAACATTCTATAGCTATGACTACGGTTAAGCTTGATCAATACTCATTCCTCAAAAATGGAGAAGTCAACAGATCCCGACCAATTGTATACAAGGTAAAATAACCAAATAAAAATATCGTAAATAATAATTAAACGTGAATATATTTTATTTTAGCTTTGATTCTATTGAAGGAGCAACAGATAAATCCAATTGGTATGGTCTTATTCAGCATCTCACGCATAAAGGCCTTGAAACTTTGAGAAATATTTTTAAAAAGAATTCGTTGAATAACAAAGAAATAGGATTGACAGAAGATGAATTTAAAGATGCAATTTGCAGTATATACAGTATGTATCATAAAACAAATTAAAGCTATTGGGTTTTCAGCAAAAGTTTAAAAATAAGTCAATGATATTAATAAGAAACGATGATAAATATATTAATCAATATAGTCAGAAAATACTATAGTAAGTAAATAATCAATAACTTCCAGCTTTCCTCTTTTTCCCAGTTTTTACTTGATATAATAATAATAATAATAATAATAATAATAATAATAATAATAATAATAATTTATTCATCCAAAATATACATTACAAAAACAAAATTAAAATACAATAAAAACTAATAAGTTTGGTATGAATAAGCTACTCGATAAGTGATCAATCACTTGTTTCAAGAAGAAAATAAAAGTTATTAAAATAATTAGTTTGTGACTAAAATAGTCACAACTTATTTTACTAGAACTATCAAGCAAAATTTACCATATTTTACACTCTAAAAGTAGGAGATTATAAGTACAATAATTATAAACATATACATAGACATATACACACTAAAATAGAATATAATAAAGTAAAACCAATTAAATAGCAATAATAATAACAGACGTGCAGTGTAGGAAAAATTTAATTAAATTATTGACTTCATTGGAAAAATTAACAAAGCCGGACATCATCTACCTATATTTTTTATCACATGAAAATTATACTCATATATCTTTATACATCCTATAAGTATAAATTTACAATTTTACGGTAAGTATTTTTGATTCTATTAAATCATTTATTATTTGACGGGAAGTATTAAACAATAGATTTTTAATTTGTATTTTAAATGTAGATTTGTGAATAAGATTTTTAATGGATTCGGGCAATTGGTTGTACATTTTAGGTGCAAGGTAAGCAAAGGATCGTTGAGTAAGTGATTTACCAACCTGAGGAAGATGATGAAGATTTCTGTTCCGAGTATTATAATAATGGAATGGTAGATTAGGTTCTTTCGTAGTGAACTTGTATTTTTGAACCGAACAGTAAAAGTATAGTTGCCTAAGGTCCAGAATTTTGTCTTCCGAATACAATAGGTTACTAGGATAACGAAAATCTCGCGAAAAAATTATTTTTAAAAACCTTTTTTGTATTGTTTCTAATGCTTTCAAGTGACACCTAAGTGCACTTCCCCAAATAACAATGCCATATCTTAAATGACTTTCTACCAAGGCGTAATATAATGTTATTAGATTTTGTACAGGTAGATGTTTTTTTAAGTATTTAAATTTGTATAAAATACCCTGTAATTTTTTAATAGTATAATTTATATGGTATTCCCATTTCAGATGATTATCTATATATACACCAAGGTATTTTATTTCAGCAACAGATTCCAGTGCGTAGTGGTGTCCACGTGTCTCTATGGTTAGTTGGTTGTACAAAGGGAGACAAGCATTGCAAGTAAATGGCATGTATTTTGTTTTATCCATGTTTATAGTGAGTGACATGTTATCTAGCCATCCCTTCACTTTCAGAAAGTCGCTTTCTGCAATATATTTTAGTTCATGCCAATTATTTGCCTCATAAAAAATTGCAGTATCGTCTGCAAATCCCAAAATTCTACCTCGACTATCAATTGAAAACAGATTATTTATATATATATTAAAGAGGACTGGACCTAAGACACTCCCTTGAGGCACTCCATACTTAATAAGCTCAGGTTCGCTAGTCTCACCATTTATTCTAACACTCTGATATCTATTAGTTAGGTAACTTTTAAGTAGGTTCAGGGGGATTCCTCTAATACCTATGTTTTCCAAACACTCTAGTAATAAACAATGATCGACTGTATCGAAAGCTTTACTAAGGTCAAGAAATATACAGATACTTGGTCTGTTTTTTTCTAGAGCATTGTGTATTTGGGAAACTAATGTTAGTATAGCATCCTCGGTAGACGTTTTTACTTTAAAACCATACTGTTTGGGAGATATTATATTAAACTTGTTTAATATAACCGCTTTGTTAATCTAGATTGATCCATTCTCCATAATGTGTCCATTTTAGATTATGCCTTTCAATTAAATTAACGTTTTGTTTTATTAAAAACTCACCAAACATACCTCAAATTTAAATACAATGTTAAAAATGTTCAAATATCTGGCTCTTCAAAAAATAAAATAATTAACTGAAGAAGGTTATCTATCCAACCTATTTATGTGGGATTGATTTTGATACATTCCTTACCATCCAAGAAAATAATTAAATATATATTTTTTTTTAGAAAGTACCAAGTATGGCGACCAAAGTGTATTACTTTTCAATGAAATTGCCGAAGACAAAACAAGAATAGATTGGAATAATTTTCTAGACTTTCTCATTGATAATATGAATCCAAAAGTTGATCTTCCAGTGCAATTAACTGTTGGTTCTATCGAATCTGCATCACACATGAGTGTAAGTATTTTTTAAAATCTAATTTTAATGCAAAGTTGTCACTTAGGAGATAAAACTGTCGAATATTTTTGTATGCATCGGCTTTGAAAACTTAACAAAGGTTTACTGGTTTCTAGGATTTTCTTCAATAACATTCAACTAAATTTAATTAAATAAGGTAAACATTCCAAGTATTCATTTTGACAATAATTGTGATACTACACAGCATATTTTAATTTGATTTTCCATCTCTGTATCTATAATGTGTGGAGGCCTCATTAGGCCCATTGTGCATCCTCCTGAGAAGATAGGCACCTCCTAGCTCGTGAGCCAGCCTACAGATTTAATGTAGTTGACAAGGTCGCCAAAAGGTGCTTCTCTTATATCGGCCGGTGTTAGCCGATACTCGCCGAACACAAATCTTCTAAATAAATGAGAGCGTTGAGCAATCGTAAAGGATATGCTCGATGGTCTCATCTTCTTGTTCGCACCCTCTCCAGAGTGCGGATTCTGACAGCCCCATGATATGGAGATGCTTTCGTACTTGGCAATGATCAGTCAGAATGCCTGTGACTAGGCGCAGATTCTCTCTAGTCATAGTCAAGTATTTGTTTGCTGCAGTGTTGTCAGGATAATTTAAGAGCTCCTTGGCAACTCTGCAGTTTCTTGTTTCATCCCATCTTTCCTTGAATTTCACAAGGGAATGTTCTTTGATTAGGTCTGTCACTACCGATTTTGTCAGGACAATAGAAAGGCCAGGTCCAAAAAGTATTTGGTTGGCTGCTTTCTTGACTAGTGAATCAGCAAGACGGTTACCTTTCGATGTAGCGTGACCTTTAATCCATCTTAAGGTGACCACGTTGTTGATGGATACTTCGGCCAAAGCTTCGTGACATTCTAGTACTAAACCTGAATAAATTCGTGGTCTGTTCAGGGTCAGTAGTGCTTGTTTGCTATCTGTATAGATGATTTTCCATATTGGTGAATGTGCCATTGTGATGAAATATCTGGAGTTTCAAACGCTTTGTGACTCTGTTACAATAAATATAAAGGAAGAGACTATGTAGGATATGCTATTCAGAGTTCCTCTCTAGTAGGTACACGGAGGATATATTTTAGTATAATTATTTTAAATACTTTTTTATTTCTTTATTTTGGTTCATTTATGTTGATTCTAAATACAAATTTCTCCCTTTTTTTAAATAGTAGTACTACACTAAAATATTTTTTTCCATACTTATTCCTACATCTTCTGCGTACCTATTGTAAAAAATGTGTATTAGCTTGGATTATTTCCAATTTCAGAGGGAGACCATTACGAAAATAGTTGTAATAGAAACAGAAAAATACTTCTGCTATGCAGCCGTCTCCCAATACGGCAGAATAGGCATATACGATGGCAATCTAAATTTTATGACTTCCTACCACGTCATAATGACCCACAAGGATTTGGAAAGAACCGACGATGAAAGAAGACGAAGAAATAGATGGATCACAGACGCTATATTTTGTGTCGATATCCAAATGTTGATCGTATCGAATTCGACGAGAAGCATTGCCATTTACGATGCTTCCGGGCTGAAGCATGAACCTTTGTGGTTGATAATAGGGTCTCCAGAAATTATTGAAGTAAGCGTATCTGAATTTTCTTTAATTTTTTGGACAGTCTTTATTATATTTTTAGTGTCTAGCTTACAAGAAAATCTCTCAAAATAAGGTTAGACAAGGCTCACAGTGTATTTTATTTGGAGGAACAAATGCAGGGGATGTAATTCTATTTAAGTTTTTACAGCCAGAAACTTCATTATTGAGACGTAAGCATACGGAAAAAATAAATATAATTTACTGGCATGTAAGTAAAAATATTTTATTATAATCGATATACAAAACAAAATATTGTAGTCGCGCTTTGATTTCTGTCAAATCACCTGTCAAATGCATTTAATTAACCTTATTTAGCAAAAAACAGAAACAATCTGAAGAAGTAGTAAAATAATATTAACCCATATTGCAAGCTAAAAAATAAAATGATGTAGATGTATCCAACAATCTTTGGAGTACTTCAGGGGTCGTACTTAGGACCCCTACTTACTAATACCATCGCTAAATGCTTTTATTTTATAATTTGTTTATTTTATCAAGTACTTATAATGCAAAAATAGGTTTTTAATTTTTAATTAAATGGATCTGACTTGGAAAATGAAAAATTTGTTTCTGTTTCAGGAATTAAAACACGAGAAGGATTATCTGAAAATTAAACCGTATAAAAATGTTCATTCTCATAATATAGAACAAATGGACTTCAATGAAAAAGATAATGCCATTATATCTTGCAGCAAAGATCCTTACGTTTCTCTCATTAAGACTTTTTTGTCCAAAAGTAAAACTCCATATATTTTAAAAATGCGTAAGGTAAAAATAACATTATTTATTAAAAATATACTCAAAAACTATTTTCTTCATCATACTTTGAAGTATTATTCAACATCTTCTTGTTAGAGAAAATTGATTTATATCCTGATATTATATTTGACGTTTAGTTTAACCTACCTATCATACTTGTATGATATGCAGATAGTCACTAACATGTTGCCAATATAAAGGTACTTGTAACGTAAATTACTATTAATCTTAGTCTTAGAAATCAGCACTGCTTGGAACCTCCAACACGTTGGAGACTCTTAGGTACCAGACAATAATAAACGTCTTTATTTATATACAACGTAGTAACCAGAAAAACTCAAACTGTTTTTTTTACTCATTTTCATTATTTTTCTACATTCTCTTATTCATTTAATATTCTCCTTCTATTGTGTTCTGTCTCTAGACACGTTTACCTTTAAGCGATCTATACTTAGGTCGTAATACTGTTTCCCTTTGCATATAAGTTAAAGGAGACCCTAGAAGGACCTTCTATAATATCAAACAATGATACCAGACTTTGAACAGAAATAATGATAAATATTCTAGTTTTTGGAGCAGTTTGTTTAACTATAAACTATAAATACATACATTTGGGCCATGGAATAAGTATAAATCAAACCGATAAAAGAAATCTAAAGAAGAATAGACCTGAAACTACTATCTACAACAAGCAAATCACTAAGGCAAATGCTAGAAAATTAATGACTTCTTGCATCAGTCAAGACCCATTGGAAAAAGTATGAATACAAAAGTGGACTTTCACAGGTCACAAATCGAGACCTACTTATAACTGTAGGGCAAAATAAACTAATAGGAAGGAGACCAAGAATAGACGAGGCAGCAGTACACCATCCACCCAATGGGTCGACTATATAAAGATTGAGTTTTCTGGAGAAGTTTGGATGAGGCTTATTCTCATTAGTGGACATTTAAAGCAGGATGATGATGTAGATAGACTTCTTAAAATAGTGTAACTTGTATATGTCTTAGAATTATCTTACAATGTACAAAATCCGAATGAAAACATCTGAAAAGAAGATCAGTTCATATACGGAGCAATGAAAGATAATCACTAGTTTACAAAATTTAACTTTTTGTCTGTTGCCGCGAATTCTGTGGTTGATAATGTTCACTTATAACGACTTGTTTTTATCAAATCTAACCTCAAAATTTTTTGAGCAGCTCAAGTTACTTTGTTTTAAGCGTATATATTAATTGATAACAGGGGTATTTTACTGTGTTTAGATTATTATCTAAAGTTTTTGAGTTTAAGGAGACGAGGTTTGAACAATCCAGATCATTTTTGCTATACAGGGTGTTAAAAAAAAAGTGTCACAAAATAAAACGGGGGGTAGTATGGGCCAAAATATGCAGAAAAGTCTTAATAAACATATGTCCGCAAATGAATGGTTTCAGAGATACGGAGTGTTTTGTGTTTTGTATCATTTTTTGATTATCTTTTTTCATTCTCAAAAACTTGCTTTTCTTATCGGAGTCTACCGATGTTTTTTCATAGATACTATTTGCAATTATTATTTTGTTGTGGGTGAATAATTTTATAAATTTTCGTTATGCCTGTTTACACTAATATTGAATTAGCTGACATGCATTTTATGTACGGTCGTGCAAATGGCAATGCATTGAAATGGAGGGAGGGCACTTTGAACATCTCATTTAACTCTATGTAGATATTGATTGTTTATAAATATCATTGTTTTTTTATAATAATAAAAAAATGTTATAAACACAAAATGGTCCGTATCTCCGAAACCGTTAATTTGCGGTCATATATTTATTAAGACTTTTCTGCTTATTTTGGGTCATACTATTCACCATTTCATTTTGTGACACTTTTTTTTAACACCCTGTATATGCGGAGAATATGTGTTTAACAATTGTAGAAAAGTTATGAGTTGGTGAAAAATACCTATTTTAAGTATTTTGGGATGCTCTTGGATAAAAATGAGAAGTCTTGGACTCCCAATTGTGTTTGTAAATCGTGTGTGGAATATTTAAGATTATGGAAAAGTGGTAAAAGAAATGTCTTTAAATTTCAAACACCGACTATTTGGCGAGAACCACGAAATCATCTCGACGACTGTTATTTTCTTACTGTCAACGTAAACGGTTTAAACACTAAAAATCGAGCTAAATGGCAGTACCCAAGTACTAGTTGTGTTCAACGTCCAGTACAGCGTTCACCTAACTCTTCAGTGCGTAAAAATATATCTGAACCCTTAGAACAAGATATTGAAGGACCAAGTTCATCACAAAATAATTTTGAAGGTATGTCAAATGAGCCAAAATGCTTTTCCCAAAATGAGTTAGATGATCTTGTAAGAGATTTAAATCTTTCTAAACAAGATTTAGAATTGTTAGCATCAAGACTGAAAGAAAAAAATTTGCTTTCCTCAGATACTAAAATAAGTTTTTATCGTGAAAGAGATAAAGAATTACGGCGTTATTTTTCCGAAGAAAACGGTATTATCTTTTGTTCAGATATTAAAAACTTGTTAATAAAAATGTGCTTGGAACAATACGAACCAAACGACTGGCGTTTATTCATTGACAGCTCAAAACGTAGCCTAAAATGTATTCTATTACCTAATGGAAATAAATACGCTGGGGTACCTATTGGCCACAGTACAAAGTTAAAGGAAGAATATTGTAACATTTCGCTAGTCTTGAACAAAATAAAATACAGTGACCATAAGTGGCAAATTTGTGTCGATTTAAAAATGGTGAACATTCTTCTTGGTCAACAAAGTGGTTACACTAAGTTTCTCTGTTTTATATGTCTTTGGGACAGTAGAGCTAAACAAGAGCATTGGGTAAGAAGAAAATATGAAGCATGGAAAGCAAAATATAGTCCAGAATTCATTAGTAGCTCGTGACAAAATTATTCTTTCACCATTACATATAAAACTGGGCATCATGAAACAGTTTGTTAAATCATTAGATAAAAACGGAAACTGCTTTTCTTACATTTGCCAAAAATTTTTTCAGCTCATTATGGAAAAGATTAAAGCCGGTATTTTTGATGGCCCCCAAATAAGACAACTTACGAAAGATACTCAATTTAAAAATTCTATGACTAAGTTAGAACTAAAGGCTTGGACAGCTTTCGTCTCTGTGATGCAGAATTTTCTCGGAAATAAAAAATCTGCAAATTACATTGAACTTGAGGAAGACCTTCTGCTACAATTAAAAAATATGGGGTGCAATATGAGCATAAAACTCCACTTCCTCCATAGTAACCTGGACAGGTTTCCGGACTTACGCGTCATGGAAGAGCGCTATCAGGGTTTCTGTGACACGAATATGATATCTGACTATTGTTGGTCTTTGATACGTCATTTTCCAAAGTCTACATATAAGAGAAGAGCTTTAAAACGAAATTTTTTAGAACTCAATGATTATTTATTTTTTTAGTAAAGTTTTTCTTAGTAAATACATATTTTTTTCTGTTTTATACCTACATAGCTGAAACTCAGAAACTAGAGCTGATAAAAGTCTTCTAATTATATTTTTGAAAATAGCATATCATATGTAGTCAGCAACAGCTGACATTTCTTCGGCAATAGATGTACTGTAAACTAGTGAATTAATAGAATGTTTTAATTAGATAATAAAACACTTTGTCTAAAAATTAAACTCAATAGCTAACCAAGTACCTACCTAAACCGAAATTGTTATCGAAATGATGTTGTTTTAGGGATGTAATTGTTTCGCGTATAGCAACTTTCTCAAAATTATAGTAACTGGAAGTAGCGATCAAATAATAAGAATATGGAACTCTGTACTAATTTCAAACATCATCGCTATCTTAAAAGGTCATAATGCAAACATTCTAGATGTTGCAATAATGGATACACAACACATGGTGCTATCATTTTCTGAAGATGGGGCAAGTCTATTTTCTTATTACTACCTATTCAATAATATATATGTTGTCAGATCCGGTTGTTTTTTTTTAGATAATTAAATTATGGGATATTAACGAAAACAAATGTCTACAAACGGAAAAAATTGAGTTTCCCGCTTTTACTATTCTCGGAAAAGCTATAGAGTATGGCACAAAAAATATATATCCAGGTCCCAAACGATCTTCGAAATATTTCGACACGCAAGAAGAAAGTGAACTGAACAAAAAGTATTTTGGAATTCCTGAAGTAGAAGAGAGACCAATGCACACCGAAACAAGTAAGAGGTAAAAGATATTAAAGTGTAAAGGTGTGATAAAGAAATAAAAGTGAAAATTTATAATTGAAATGGTTTTCGATAGTTGCAGATACATAAATATTAATTCGTTTTAAAATAGTTTTAGAGGTTCCACGGGTACTTGGGAAAGATCGAATTTATTGGTAACATGCTGTAACTATATAGCAACCTTAAATGTTAACTACGAAAATTCAGATATAAGAAGATTAAACGAAATGACAATACTGCCTCCTCCTCCTTTACAAAACAGCGTCTTAATACCAGCTTATTGGCAAGTCAGGACTAAGGAATTAAAATCAAATCCGTAAGTATTATTATGTAACATTTTGTAACGTAAAAGGGTTATTTTACTGCGTATTATGCGAAAACACCTAAAAAATAGGTTTTATGATAGATTTAAATGTCAGTCTGTCTATCGCAGTTACTTTTTGATATTTACCCATTTTAGATTACGATTTTTAAAATCGAGTGAAAATAATTTTAAACTTAATAAACAAAATTTTTATTTCTATTCACCACTCAAGAAGTAATTTTTCTACCAATTTAAATATAATAACATTAATAATAAATCTACAAAAGATTTGATTTTCAGCAATCAAGTAATAGAGCAAAACATAAACGATACCCTTAAAAGCTTGGATTTTATAATAAACAAGGATTTGTTTGATACAGAGGGTTCTAAAAGTGACATCAACTACAAGATAGCTATTTTGGAAACAAAAAAGATGCAGGTAATTTTAAAATACTTGACTATTTTTTTGTGTAAGTGATTTTTTATAATAGCATGTATATACCTGAAATGAGGCGGCATGCAGTCCCAACCAAGTCATTGGCTCACGGACAAATTTTTAGTAAAATAAATTTAATGTCAACCCTGGAATAAAGCGACATGCAGTCTAGCCAAGTCATTTAATGCTATTTAATATATGTTTTGTTTCTGATATCCTAACAGTGACTGGTCACAAATTAAAACATTTTATAACACTCCTAGAGCACGTCGCATATTTCCTACTTTCACATTTCTTGAAAGACTACAAAATATAAATTAGTTTGGTAAAATTTGATCAACTAAAAAATCGGCACGATTATCCTGTTCTATGTTTTTTTTAGATGAAAGCCCATGTTGCTAAGGGTGCGCCGTTTCTTGCATTGAGTTTATTGAAAATCGAAGATTTGAAATTATCCGTTGAGTTGCGAACAACTAATAAGTCTTTTAGGAATATTAAAAAAATGTTAAAAGGGGCTTCTGTGAGAGATCAAGCGTTTTCAGAACCTTCGTCTAGCAAGTCTCCAGGATCTTCCAGAAGTCATTCATTATTATTATAAATATTTTAATAATAAATGTATTTTTTTATGGTGTGTACTATTTTCAATAAATTCTTCAACAATACCCGCAACCCACGTTACTAAATTAATGTTTAATGGTAAAAACAATGACACTGATCTATTTGGCAGAACTCAGGACTAAAACTGGTTATTTTCATTAATTTAATAAGTTAAATAAGGTTAAGTTAAATATTAAATTAAAAAAATTAAAAAGTACGTAAAATAAAAATGAAACTGGTTTATTTAATACGATTTTATTTAATATCAGGAATAATAAAACAAAACAAACCATACACATTAAAACAAAAAATGCGATTGGAAATTTAAAATAGTTGTGGTTGTAATATAATTATTCATAATTTAAAACTACAGCATAAACCGTAAATACAAAATATATTATAAATGAAATTCTGTCTATAGTTATTCCTAGTAATATCCACATAGATTGTAATTTTTCTGCATTATCGTTTAAATTTCCGTATTCATCTGCCATCTAAAATATAAAGAAAAAATGTTAGTAATCTCATGATGATGATAACAAAATTTAGGACCTATCACTAGCTCTAGCTACTAGTTAAATAATACTAGCAGTAGCTTACAATATCATTTATTAGTTAGTTAGTAAAAGTAATTAAAGGCATATTCTAAACATATCTTTAATCGCAAAAATACAATTTAGTGAGTACAAATAGGTGAAATACATTTTTTAAATAAATAATAAACAAAATAAAGTGATAGTGAGGTCCAAAGATACATTGCAGATACATAAAGATAAGAGGAATGATCTAAATATTGATGAAGTTTTCTGTACTTGTATTTTGAAGGAGACAAATGTTATTTATTCGGATTCTATATAATCAAAATACAAACTTATACCCAGAAGCATAAAAAATGAATGAATGACAATAAAAAATAGCAACTACTGCAATTTTAGAAATCACTTAAGCCTCTTCTACTTTTTTTTTATCAAAAGATTCGCTCCCTCGTCTCCTTCCATGGGATTAGTGAAATAAAGTAGGTACTGAGATTACTGAGTATAGACAACCAGTAATACATTTGTATCGCAATTTATAATTCTTTATCCATTAATGGAAGCTATAGTTTTAGAAACAAATCTTGTTTATTTCAAACAATCTTGAATAAAATAGGACTGGTACAATCCCTTGCCTCGTCCATCTATTTTTAGGTAGGTAACTTGTTTTTCTCATTTTCAACAGCTCTTTTTATGATCCCATACTCTTTAGGACTTCTTCTTAGAACAGTATCAATTGCAAATAAATCAAAACCCGCAAATATAATGTCGATGAAAAGATGACAATTATGAATTATTATTATTTATGGTTAGAGCAAACATGACAAAGACATTAAAAGGAAAACTAAGATCAAAATATTGATCAATCCAGTCGATATAAATTTAAAAATTTTTACCTTAATATTGGGTAGGAATAAAACAATCTTTAAAAAAAGACTTGTTAATATTTTGCACATAAAATGTGGCACGGCATTCGTATGGTTATCTCTCGATATATTTATAACAACTGTGGATACAATAAGTGCTATTAGTCCTGCAACCAAACTGTAGCTGTACAATGAAACTAAAAACAAAAATAAAAATATACAGGCTTAATTTTAAACCAATTAAAATAGTATATCTACCTAAATAAGGAACTTTATTCACATGGTGAGGTACTATCATTGCTAAAGTTAGCAACATTACAACACAAAGGATCATCTCAATGCAGCCTATCGATATTTTCAAGCTACCAATTGAATCCATCCAGAATGATGAGAGAATTGAAAAAGCCATAACTTAAAATAAAAATTAAAAATAATAAGTTTTTAACACTAAGACAAAATAAATCAGACAAGGCAACTACAACTTTTTAAAAAATAGCAGCATAATTGTTAAATAATAAAAAATAAACTGATGTTCTTAAAAATTAAAAGCTTAGTTTCCAAAAATTCTCACAAGAAGTTTGGTTCAAAAAATTTGGAAAATATGAATTGGTAATTATTAATATTAAATAGAAGCAATGAGAGATTTTGAAAGTCATCGGTGTCTATTTAATGTAATATTTTAAAAATAGTTCATTAAAATTTGAAATTTAACTTGGGTAAATTAAATAAATAGTAAAATTAAAAAAAAAATGTTAAATCGAAGTCTTTTTTTTACTAAAATTGTATTAGGTATCTAATTTATTTATCATAAATTTGAGAATTTGTAATTAATTAAAAAAATACTTTGGTTAAATTTGTGTAGGTGCGAATAAATATGTTTCATTCTCAAAATTCAGAATTACTTTTAAGAATTATTAAAAAAAAAGGAAGAATAGTTATTCTATATAATAAAAAAAATTAATAAAAAAAAACTTACACACAAATGGAGTAAAAAATAACCAATTATATATATTGCTGTTTCTTTTTAAAGTAAATATTATTTCGAAAATAGCTGGCTCAGAGGTTTCATTTTTTTCGTTAAATGTAAGACCTGATATTACATCTGCTTCTAAAATAACCCATTCTAATGTATCCTGAACAATCTAAAAATAAATATATATCAACTTAGATATCAATATTAAAAAAAAGTAAAATAAGATGTTTTTTGCAGCAATAAGCTGCAAAATAGTTCAATTTCAAACACTGAGAAAATTCGGCTTATACAAGTCAATATCTAACAATAACAAATTTTTAAAAAGCCTGCCAATATTTTATTGTTCTTTCTGTGACCACATAATATCCATATAAACTGGAACATTGAGATCAAAAGTGCCGACGCAGAGTGAGCGATCTGATTCTTTAGCTATAAACTGTAGCATAGGAATCAAAATGGCCGCGCCCTATGTTGGGCGCAAAGACATGTCTTTGGTTGGGCGTGTCGGACCTCTCTCTTGCACCGTATAGTAATCAAAGTATGTGATTTTGTACACACATACTATCTAACATCAATCTAACACTACTCGGAGATCTAACCACTTAACTTCCTACCAGAATCCAACAGAAAAACAAAATTATATTTGCGGATGTGTAATTGACACTCAGAATAAGAAACAACAAATTTTGTTGATTTAGGTTTTGCTTATGAATAATAGAGATCGTCAGTAAGGGGATTATGATGGGATTAGGGGTGAGATTGCAGAACGTCTGCAACTTTGCAGATCTGCAACTTTGCAGATCTGCAAATATGGCGGACTTACAAATGCAAGTATTCCAAAAAATATCTGCAAATTCGCAATATTTATTGTGGTTTATTACCCCCAACAACACTAAACCCAAATTTGGAATACCAAAACTTGATACTTGCATGTGTAAGTCAGTCATATTTGCAGATTTTCAAAGTTGCCGCCATATTTGCAGATCTGCAAAGTTGCAGACGTTCTGTAATCTCACCCTAGGTCTACTTACAGGTAATAAGAACCCTAAGCACAAGGATAGCCAGATGTTACATTACTTGGTATGTGTCTTCCTTTTAAAAAATAACATGTGACCCTATCACATTGACGGAAAATGTTATAAATGCTCTAAGACTTATATTTATTCTACCAGATGGGGTCGATTTGATTTAAAACAGAATAAAAAACATAATGTCGCTTTTTTTGTGAATCTTGTTTCTGGTTTGTATGTCAAAACAGTGAGCAAAAAGTGAAGAAAATGAAAAAAACTTTTAATAAGGGATAATGGTCATGAAATTCAGCATATATCACAAATGCACGCTTCGTTTTTAGACCCAAGACCATGATTATTAGAAATTAGATCTGAGAAGAGAAAATTTATTTTCCAAACACACATTTTATTTTTTTATGATGAATAATTTTAGCTATAAATCAAAAGCGGCTAAGTAATTTGTTGACATCTTGTCTAGTCTCGAATTTTGAGATTCAATTTTATATGTAGGTTAATTAAAAAGAGATAGGTATAGAGAAAGACAAATTTCACCCTCTTCTTGGTCCTTTTACCCTGAGAATATTGATCTCGCTCTATGTTCTCACTCCAAAGTCAATTCAAACACGTTTGGTTTGCAGCCACATACTTTGATTTTTTTGCAGCGGTCGGAGATCTCTGATGATCAAATCAAACCACATACTTTGATTACTATACGAGGCAAGAGAGAGGTCCGACACGCCCAACATAAGGCGCGGCCATTTTAAACCCTGTGACACAGTTTACAGCTAAAGAATCAGATCGCTCACTCTGCGTCGGCACTTTTGATCTCACTGTTTCAGTTTATACACTGTGCAACTCGGATAATACAATATATGACAACCGCCTATAATAAAACAGCAGTCTTCTGCGTATCCTGAATTTGTATCCCTGGGCCTCAATTCTCGACTTTTTTTCCCATGGGAAAAAGATAATTTTCCTATGGGAATTTATATTTTGTATTCTCGACACATCCACTAGGAATATTTTCTCACGAAAAGTATGGGAGCAAATACACCTGGTATTTGGCATGGGAAATTAAATTTCCAATGGGAATCTGTCACCGGTGACATTTGCTAGTTACTTCAAATAATAATATTTATATATTATTATTACTAATATAACTTTCCTAAAATGGATGAAGCTATTTTACTTTCTCAATTAAACAATATAGAAGAGGCAGAAGAAGAGCAATTAATGTCCCAAGAGATTTTTGGTCTAAGTGGAAAAATGAGGCAGGGGATCCCTTTGAATCCTTAAATGATAGACAATTTTTCAAATATGATCAACGCAAATTTTCTAGAATAAGCAATCCCAGAATAAATTTTGTTTCATTATTAGGAATAGGCTATTTCAGAATAAATTTTGTTTTATTACGCAAAATAAATAGCAACTGTTAATAACATAATGAGATGGTAAAAAACTTGAAGCTAAAATATTGAACACTCTTAAAAATCCTTAAAATTCCTCTGTTTCTGCTATTTTTTCCAAGGCACACGTTATTCGTTCTTTTGCCAAAACATTTCTCTCTAATAACTTGAATGTTTTGTCATAATAATTTTCTTTATTAAAGTTTTTATTTTGTAACATGCGTTCAATATTTCGGCTAGTATTCAAGGTTTTAGTTAACCTTGTAGCAGCTACTCTTCGTTTGGGCTTTATTGTGCCCCTTGTACTAGGTTTAGCACATGATATATTTTCACGTTATTTTCTAAATAAGAAGGGTTGATTGTTTTCTCTGACAAGATGGCAAGTGGCAAAACAAGAGTCAAAAGTTGACGATATAATCAATGATCCCAAGAAGGGTTGATTGTTTTCTCTGACAAGATGGCAAGTGGCAAAACAAGAGTCAAAAGTTGACGATATAATCAATGATCCCAACATTACTACTTGAAAGTATTGAAATATAATATTGATTATGATTGGTCAGTTTCCAATATTTACATACTTAATACCCGACATACGTTAGACATACGAATAATCGAAATTCCCATAGGAAAAAGGTTCCTAACCTAGTCGAGAATACCATTTTATAATACCACTGGAATATAAGCATGGGAATATTTATCCATGGGAAAATTTTCCGGTGAAGTCGAGAATTGAGGCCCTGGAGTGGATGTTATTTTGGAACTTTCAACTGGTCCCAGTGAGCTAACTGATTCTTTAGCAATATACTGTGACTTCAAAAATAATATTCACTGACACTGACCGCAGCAAGCAAAATATCAGGTGCGTTTTAATCATTAGCTTCTGCTTCCGGAATTGTCGGTTTAGTCGTTTTAACCTGTCAGATTAAAACAAGAAAACCGACAATTCCGAAGCAGAAGCGGATGATTAAAACGCACCTATTAAAAATATTGCGCCAAGATGTAGGCAACACGTAATAAGGGTTCAAAATGGCGGAGTTTTCTATCTCCTTTTAAAAGACACTCAGAAAGCTGCGCAGTGCGACCATTCTCCGTATAGTAAAAGAAAATCAAAGTATGTGAATCAAACGCACTAATGATATAACGTCAGTTGACCAGTTAACAGATCGTCAGTTTGAAATTTATAATAAGCAGTACACCAAAAAAATGTAATTAGTTCACTAAAATTAGTATGTCAATCGATATAAAGCAGTTACCAAGGTGGTACTTTGGTGGTCTAGCATCAGCATGCGCAGTTTGCGTCACCCATCCTCTAGATCTTATAAAAGTCCACTTACAAACCCACAAAGGCCGCGCCATTAGTCTTCTTCAAATAACTGGCTCTATAATAAAGAATGAAGGAATTCTGGCTTTATACAATGGAATATCAGCTTCAATCTTCAGACAACTGACCTATTCGACCACTAGGTTTGCCATTTACGATTACGCTAAAGCGAATATAGATATGAGTAGTTTTACCACAAAAATGGCAGTAGCTGCAGTTGGAGGAACAGTTGGAGGTTGGGTAGGTGCTCCCGCAGATCTAGTTAATGTCAGATTACAGAACGATATGAAGCTACCAAAAAAACAGAGAAGAAACTATAAACATGCTATCGATGGAGTATACCGAGTTATCAAAACTGAAGGACTACCACGATTATTCACCGGTTCTTCCACAGCTTCAATGAGAGCTGGTGTTTTAACTATTGGACAAATTGCTGTTTACGACCATTCCAAATATCTTTTTTTACGTTTACAATTGTTTAGAGATAATATAGTGACGCACGTTCTTGCTAGTTTTATAGCAGGAATCGCAGTTACCATCCTGGCACAACCTCTGGATGTATTGAAGACGAGGCTGATGAGTGCGAAAAAAGGAGAATTCGCTGGTATTATGCAGTGTGTTGTATTAACTAATAAAGAAGGAATGAAGGCATTTTATAAAGGCACTATTCCAGCCGCTGTGAGACATGTTCCTAATGCTGTAATTATTTTTATAATTTATGAAAAACTGACGTATAATTATGGGTATATTCAGATAAAGTACAAAAAATAGTGTAAATATTAATTTTTATTTATTAAATATTTATTTTTTATATTAAACAGTAGTTCTAATTCTTCATATTATATTATTCTATAATTAATTCAGGCCATCTATAAAAATAAACTACATAATTTTTTGAGAGTAGTGATGAAATGGGAACTTGTAATGAGCAGATCACTGACCTGCATATGAAAAGATGATTGTCTAAAGTTCATAGTCATGTCAAGTCCTAAGAGGTACAAAATTATCCTGTAGGACGCATTCAGTTTAGCACATCCTTATTTCACAGGGCTAAAACTCCTCGTAGAGGTCAAAAAATGTAATTTCGATCACCTTGCAAGTCCCAAACTCCCAAAATTTGCAATCAGAAAGGAATAACCGCCATATCCAAATTTCACTTCGATCCCACTTCTACAAAACGGTTTTCCTTTTAAGATTCCATAATCCGAAAATAACTTAAAACACCACAAACCAACCAAAAATCAATTCAAATTGTAGTTGAATGTACATTAACTCAAGAATACAGTGATAAATAGTTCAACATTCTACCAGAGAATAAATTTAGGGCATTACTGGGTAAATAGATCAATAGATTGAACCTAAAGGAACCTAAAACTTCTCTTTACAACGTTTACAGAATTTGGATTATACTTTTTCTCAGCAGACAAGGCCAAATATCAAAATTATACCTGCTTTTTGGTATATTTTAATATTAATTTTTATTCTAATGGTCTGATTTTCGTGCATAAACTTTTGAAGTTTATTTTCTGTCCAACATAAGCATGACACAACCAATCGGTACCTTTTTAATTGCGATAAAAAGTTTTATATCTTAAGTATATCTCTGTCTATACCTAAGTAATGGCAATTTCTCATTATTAATTGATAATAATTATTGCTATACGAAATATTTTAATAATTGTTTCTAGATTAAACCTGAAACTAATTAATTCGTGGTGTATAAAAATTGATGATGGAACTTAACCGATGTCAACCTGAAACAACTGTCTAATGTCACATTTATTTCAACAGAGTGCCATAACATTCAATAGAAAATGTAAATTTTTGACCGAAATAATATATTATGTCCATCGAAATAAAAAAATTTCCAAGATGGTACTTTGGTGGCCTAGCAGCCGCATCCGCAGTATGCGTTACGCATCCTCTAGATCTAGTAAAAGTCCACCTACAGACCCACAAAGGCGAACCCATTACTCTTCGTCAAATGTTTGTCACTATAGTTAAAAATGAAGGGTTTCTGGCTTTATACAATGGAATATCAGCTTCAATATTCCGACAACTGACCTATTCAACTACCAGGTTTGCTATTTACGACTACGCTAAAGTGAATATAGATATGACCAATTTTACCACAAAAATGGCAGTAGCAGCAGTTGGCGGAGCCATAGGAGGTTGGGTGGGAGCTCCTGCAGATTTGGTTAACGTCAGACTGCAGAACGACATGAGAATACCAAAAGACCAAAGAAGAAACTATAAACACGCCTTCGACGGATTATATCAAGTGATCAAAACTGAAGGATTACCCCGACTATTTACCGGTTCTTCCACAGCTTCAATGAGAGCTGGTGTTTTAACTGTTGGACAAATCGCTGTTTACGATCAGTCTAAATTTCTCCTTCTACGCTCAGGCATGTTTCAGGATAATGTAGTGACGCACCTCGCTGCTAGTTTTATAGCAGGAATAGCGGTTACGATCATGACGCAACCTCTGGATGTATTGAAAACGAGACTGATGAATGCTAAAGAAGGAGAGTTTGCTGGTATTACGCAGTGTGTTGTATATACAAGCAAAGAAGGTCCATTGGCGTTTTATAAGGGCACTATTCCAGCTGCTGTTAGAAATATCCCTAATACTGTCATTACTTTTATCATTTATGAACAGATGACGAAATATTTCGGATATATTCCTAAGTTTAAATGAGCACAATAACATATTTTTAATTATTTATTATAAATATTTTATAGAGGGTTGTTGTTTGATTTTAGGAACCATTGTTCTAAATAGGGCTCAGTACGTTTGCTCCAGCAGCAGTAACCCATATATCAAGGATTCTCTACCATCATGAGTCCATTTAGTATTAATCGGGTTATGTAAATCATAGATGTAAGCCAACATTACTTATATCTATTAATAATTGTGTAAGGAACCTCAAATAATTCCTCCTGTATATTAACACAGGATGTTATGGCTTTAAATCACTCTTACTATATATGAAAATAAATAAAATGAGCAGAAAAGGTTTGTTGATATGTTGATTAAATGCTTTTATCCAATAACTGAATTTAATAGATTTTCTATTTTGAATTATTAAAAAAATTATCTTACCCTTTTGGATCAGACATAAAATACGTTAAAAATACGTTAAAAATACGTTAAAAAATACGTTAAAAAATACGTTAAAAATAGGTTAAAAAGAAGGTAAAAATACGTAAAGATACGTAAGAAAGGGAAAAATATGTAAAAATATGCAAAAATACGTAAAAATTCGTAAAATTTCGTAAAAATATGTAAAAATATGTAAAAGTACGTAAAAATACGTAAAAATACGTAAAAATACGTAAAAATACGTAAAAATACGTAAAAATACGTAAAAATATATAAAAATACGTAAAAATACGTAAAAATACGAAAAAAAAAACGTAAAAATACGTAAAAATAGGTAAACGTACGTAAACGTACGTAAACGTACGTGAACGTACGTAAAAATATGTAAAAATACATAAAAATATGTAAAAATATGTAAAAATATGTAAAAATATGTAAAAATATGTAAAAATATGTAAAAATATGTAAAAATATGTAAAAATATGTAAAAATATGTAAAAATATGTAAAAATATGTAAAAATATGTAAAAATATGTAAAAATATGTAAAAATATGTAAAAATATGTAAAAATATGTAAAAATATGTAAAAATATGTAAAAATATGTAAAAATATGTAAAAATATGTAAAAACATGTAAAAATATGTAAAAATATGTAAAAATATGTAAAAATATGTAAAAATATGTTAAAATACGTAAAAATAAGTAAAAATACGTAAAAATACGTAAAAATACGTAAAAATACGTAAAAATACGTAAAAATACGTAAAAATACGTAAAAATACGTAAAAATACGTAAAAATACGTAAAAATACGTAAAAACCTGTAAAAATACGTAAAAATAAGTAAAAAGAGCTTCCAAAACAAATTATGTACTTACAAGCGAACTTTCATTTTCTCTAAATGACAGTTTCATACTGTTAAATTCCCTCATAAATCCTAATATCACATTGCAACTATGGTTATCTTTGGGCCATGTACCTAAATCGTTGCTATCACAGAAGACCTTTAAATTAATTTTAGGATTCCATTCTACGTCACCAGTATAATGTGCGACCATCATTGTGTCTTCTAGCATATCACGAGCGTCACCGAGGGCACTGGACACCACAAAGATTTGATATAAAATGTATTTGATGTAAAAATGTCAATACTACTAGACAAAGTCAAAATTTTACATAAAATTAATCATTATTAGAAAATTTTTTAAAAAAATTATGAAATCGTTAGTAAAACTTCAAAACATATTTTTAAATTATCACAGTGAACAGAAAAAAACTATTTATCTCATGCCAAAAACTCACTTGTAAAGAACCAAATCTGGCTGCCAAATTTCTCGCCTGAATATATGTAGACTTTTTAATCCGCCATATTGATTGGGGTCCCAAATAAGTTTTTCATCCTGCCAAACCTGGACAAACGAAAGTTTAATAGATTTTAAATAATTTGTTTTTAAATATTCACCATTTTTGTCACACCCGATAGTTCCATTGTTGCCTTATGTTCATCCTAAAATAAACATATTTTGTAATTTGTTTCATTATAAATTGGATGTCGTTAGTAAATGAAGCTCATTTGCGGCAAGAACGTCATAACTCCAAAATTGTCATTTAAAATTTATTGGCACAATGAAGATCGTAAATAAAAGCCCTATTATCTAGTGTCACATCTGAACTTTCTATAATTGCTGTTATACCTACCTAAATAGGTACTAAAGGTGTTTGTTTTCATCTCAATGCTATAATTTCCATATTTCAGTTGCTGAGAAACTGATGAAGCATCACTAGATGACTAAAACAATATTTTATTTCTTATTGTGACTATACGTTTGCTATAATACGTTACTCGATCAGGTCGTATTATTTTATTTTATTATTTAGCTGTAAAAACAACATTTTTGTGTCATGACGTTTTTTCAGTAAATAAAATTGTAGCAGAAAAGTTATCTAATACAAAAAACATGAATACTAACCAGTGAAATAAAATTAATGTTCAATGCCATTGAAACATTGGTAAATGTCGATATTTTTTTAACAGGTCTAACATAAGGATCGTAATGGTAAAGCAAGTCACGTCTGAGTTTTTCTAGATGAGTCAATGGTCTTTCTATTTTCTAAAAAAATATACTCATATAAAACAAAGAAAAATCAAGAATCAAGAATCTAGAACTAAAGTTGAACCTAAAATAACAGCGTTGTTACCTATACAACAAAAACCAATAAAATAAATAGGAAGATTGGAAAGCAAAACAACTACTTTTTACATTATTCAACAATAATCTTCACTTACTTTAATATTGTCGATTTTACAGTCAAAATACCATTTTGCTTCAACACCTGACCAAGTACTGAAACTTATCACTTTTAATGGTAATGGATCTGTATCTACCCATGAAATGAAGGGTAGTTCTTCGTTTTCTTTTCCGACAGCAATATCTCCATCTAAAATTATATGGAGTTTATTTTATTTTATTTCCTTCATCTTCTTGTTTAGTCATTAATTTATTTATTTCGTAAATTTTATCATAATTGATATATAATTATTAATCGCTAATTTATTGCTACTTTTTGTGTCTCTAATTTATTTCTATATTATTACTAACTTAGCGCTGTTTTATGGTTATTGCTATTTATTACTAATGTATAGCTATTTTATCGCTATTTTATTTTATATCTGCATTACTATTTTATTGAAAATGTATTGTTAATTTATAGCTAAATTATTGATAATTTATTTTTAATTTATTGCTTATTTATTTCTAATTTATTGCTAATTCATTGCTAATTTATTGCTAATTCATTGCTAATTTATTGTTAATTTATTGTTAATTTATTGTTAATTTATTGTTAATTTATTGTTAATTTATTGTTAATTTATTGTTAATTTATTGTTAATTTATTGTTAATTTATTGTTAATTTATTGTTAATTTATTGTTAATTTATTGTTAATTTATTGTTAATTTATTGTTAATTTATTGTTAATTTATTGTTAATTTATTGTTAATTTATTGTTAATTTATTGTTAATTTATTGTTAATTTATTGTTAATTTATTGTTAATTTATTGTTAATTTATTGTTAATTTATTGTTAATTTATTGTTAATTTATTGTTAATTTATTGTTAATTTATTGTTAATTTATTGTTAATTTATTGTTAATTTATTGTTAATTTATTGTTAATTTATTGTTAATTTATTGTTAATTTATTGTTAATTTATTGTTAATTTATTGTTAATTTATTGTTAATTTATTGTTAATTTATTGTTAATTTATTGTTAATTTATTGTTAATTTATTGTTAATTTATTGTTAATTTATTGTTAATTTATTGTTAATTTATTGTTAATTTATTGTTAATTTATTGTTAATTTATTGTTAATTTATTGTTAATTTATTGTTAATTTATTGTTAATTTATTGTTAATTTATTGTTAATTTATTGTTAATTTATTGTTAATTTATTGTTAATTTATTGTTAATTTATTGTTAATTTATTGTTAATTTATTGTTAATTTATTGTTAATTTATTGTTAATTTATTGTTAATTTATTGTTAATTTATTGTTAATTTATTGCCAATTTATTGCTATTTTTGCTAATTTGTTGCTAATTTATTGCCAACTTATCGCTATTTTATTGCTAAATTATTAAATGTCCTGCGAATTTCCAAACTTACCCTTAGTAATATGCAACCAAAACGATTGAGGGTCAAGAGGACTCAATAATCCGTTAATTCTAACTGACGCCTTGACGTCAGCCTTCTGTCTCCTTCTAATATCGCAAAACGTGTTCCCTCCTGCTCCTATGACGATTTCGTAAACGGGATCTCCTTTTTCTACTTTGTCCGATGGCGCTAAAAGAATATGGGCATCGCTAGGAGCTAAGACTGAGAAGTGAAAGTCCAACAAGAGAGTGTCATTTGCACCGGGCATGTCTGTTAAGGAGTAGAAATCTCTGTAGACGCTTCCTGAACGGGAGTAGTGAATCTTGCATTTGGTCAAGTCTAAAAATGATCGACAGAAAACAGTCTAATAAATAAATCATAGAATGAAAGAGGTAAATGAAAATTACGACAATTAGAAAAAGGAGAAAGTGGAACTAAAAGGAAAAGTGGTGAAAGAAGCAGATATAAATACCAACGAAACCATGCCATGCTTCTACAGTGATATTAAATATATTTTCTTATGAGCTTGTGTAAAGTAGTACTTTTCCGTATGTATTCCCGTGCGCAAAGTTAGACTTTTATGCACGCCGTGCGGATGAGATTTAAAAAAAGCTACTCAATAATTTTATTGATATGAAAAATTAATATTTATTTTGGAAGATGGAAACTATTTTATGCAAAGTGAAAGACGTTACACGTGTATTCGCTTATACCTACCTTTTATTCGTAATTCCCGATATTTGTATTTTAGATTAAATTTTAAAAAAACTAGTACATTAAGTACCTTGTATATTGATAAACGATATACATAATATATATTTTTGTTTCATTGGTCAATTCACATATTTGATCAGACAATTCACTTGACTTAATGGCTCAGATATTTCTTCCTGACAAAATCAATCTTTTTTAATATGAAAATGTAGGAAAATATGTGCCTTTAGCGTATCACATATTTAAGAAACTCGTGTTGTTAAAATATTTTGTAAACCAGTACTGGTATTTAAAATTACAAACTTTTAGAACACCTAAATCTTTACTAAATATTCTTTTAAAACTTAGTATAGGACTGTTTGTTAATGAGCTACAGAGTGTCAAAAAATATAATTTTTTTTATACTTCCATATAAATTTTAGAGATTGGTAACCATGTTAGCAAAAATTTGAAGCCAATCTAAGAAGTTCAGTAAATATCGGTTTTTTACCAATATATTTTTTTACTTTGGTATAAGCTAGGTATGGATAGTCATTTATTTCATAATCCTCGATCTTAGGTATGAAAACTTAACATTTTTATAGTGGATGTCATTTTTACCTATTAGTTAACATGGATCTATGTTGATATCAACAATTTATTACAAAACAATGTTGTTGTTTGTGTAAACAGGTCTGAAGAAGGGTTTATGTGCCGAAACTAGTGGTACTTGCCATTTTGTCGGTAAGATAAATAAAAATTATATATTGCATTGTATTTTGCGCCTTCGAGATTATGGATCATTCTAATTTATTTATTTGAAACATATTTCAGGTAATAAACGGTAATTTTCTTACCTATTTGACTGTGGTTATAAAGATTTCCAGTCACTTCATAGCTAAGAGAAAATAGAATCAACAAATAAAAATAATGCAACTGAAACATTGCGATAGACCTTCGAAATTGGTCCACAGACTGAAATAATACTGACAATGCGACAAAGATTTCTAATTTATCACTAAATTTCCTGTACATTTTTATCTTTGTTGTAAAAGAATTATTATCAGTGTTATTGAAGAATATTTATTTAGTGGAAGACCAGCAGAATTATTATATTTAACAAAATTGGTTTGCTAATAATATATTTTTTCTACTACCGTGCGTAAAGTACGTACTTTACGCAATCCACGAAGTGTGTAAAGTTGTACTTTTTTCACTGGTACGTAAAGTAAAACTCTTTACGAACTAGTTAAAAAAAAGTAAAATTTGACAAAATTTGTACAACAAAATATAACGTTTTATTTTATATTAACATTTTTTTGCTATCTCCTTCTAAGACAAATAAATAAATTATTTTTGCTTATATCTATTTAGTGTCCAACAAATTATCAACAGTTTATTTTAATTATAATTTTCTCTAAATGTCATCGATTTAATTAAAAGTAAACATACAGTGGATGTCGATTTTGGTAAAAGTAAGTTGGCCGTGGCTGTGTGGATTAGAAGAACTGTCAATCTCTAAACTTTTAATTAGTACCTACCTTATAACAGAACACGACAAAAGTATACTTAAGTTCAATATTAGATTCTAAAGCCAATTTAGCATTTTTTAAACTCAATCAAGTTTGAGAAGGTAAAAAGTTTTACTTTTTAATGTTTGTTTACTTAAATTCAAATTTTATTTGCAGTTTATTATATCTGTCATAATCGATATGGATTCAAATTTATCTAGCGATAGCGAATTTGATAATACTCCCCCAGATATCTTATGCAGTGCACAAAAGGCCACTGAAAATTTATTGCCAGAAAAATCTGCATATATTTATCAGCAAAAATACAATGCATTTATAGAATGGTGTAAGAAGAATAAGGTGACAAAATATTCGGAAAACGTTATTTTAGCATATTTCTCTGATGAATTGAAAAATTGCAAAGCTTCTACCCTATGGTCGATTTATTCTATGCTTAAAAGCACCTTAAAATATAAAAACAACGTTGATATTTTGAAATTCAACAAGTTAATAGCGTTTCTCAAACAGAAAAATAAAGGTTATAAACCAAAAAAATCCAAAATTTTTGAACGAGAAGATCTAATTAATGTTCTGTTGAAAGCTCCAGATTCCAAGTTTTTAATGATCAAAGTAAGTAAATGCCTCAGTAAATGCTTGAATGCTCAGTATAAAATTAAAATATTCTGTAAAGTTTTGCAACGAGATGTGTGTTCGTATGGTGTGTTGCCTAACAAAATCAGTTGCTGTCCTAACAGGCCACCGGGGTTGTTAGGCAGCACATTATACCTAAAACTTTTATATTTTTTACAATAGCATTTATTTGGAGTTTTACATGCGCAACGTCAAGATATTTCCTAATGTTTAATAAATTATTTGTAACATAACAATATGTTATTTTTTTGGTAGCTTTTATAATTGGAATTGCGGGAGCTTGTCGCCGGGAAGAATTATGTAAAATGACAATTAACGATGTGGAAGATAAACAAACAGTGTATATTGTCAAAGTATTAGAAACCAAAAATGGAATAGAACGCATTTTTACGATTTTAAATCCAAATAATTCTGCAGTTGATTATTTATCTTTCATAAAAAAATATACCTCATTAAGACCATCAAATATAAATTGTAACAGATTTTTTTTAAAATTCGCAAATGGAAAATATTCTAAACAGCCTGTAGGGATAAATACTTTTGGTAAAATGCCAAGTGTAATAGCAACGTATCTAAACTTACCCAATCCAACGGCTTTTACAGGACACTGCTTTAGGAGGTCTTCAGCCACTATGCTGGCAAATTCTGGAGGAGACCTTCTAACGGTAAAAAAACATGGAGGATGGAAATCATCTGCTGTTGCAGAAGGCTACGTAGACAGCACAATAACACAAAAAAACAAAATTTCTAATAAAATTTTTATGGATGACAGTATGCCATCCACTTCCAAATAAAGCTACAATTTTACCGTTGACAACTCTAATGAAGAATTAGTGGAACCACTCGACAGTGAAACTAGAGTTACACAAAATATTTCAACCTCTTTACTTGAAAAGGCCAAATCCATACCACTCGAAGCTCAAAATAGGGTTACAGAAGTAATATCACAACATTTTTCAAACTCTGTGCTGGAAAAGGCCGAAACCTTAAGTTTTGGTAATTGCAATAATTGCACATTCAATATTAATATTCATAAGAGTTAAAAACCTATTTTTTTAAATATTTCTTTATTTGTTACTCATTTTGTTCTGTAAGAATTATAAATTTGTAAAGTTCCAATAAATTTATTTTTGTTGCTGTGTATAATTTTTGGCACATTTTACTTTTTTTCACTAGTGCGTAAAGTAAAGTACTTTTTTTCACTTGTGAAAAAAAGTAACTTTTATATTTCTAATATTAGTGGATTATGTGCACGGTAGTAGAAAAAATGTTGTATGCCACTCGTGTGTAAAGTCGCTTTTTTGACACACTTGTTGCATAAATAACTATATTTTCTTTTAAGTTGTAGGTGTAACTGCAAAAATTATGGAATATTATTTAATAATTATTGTTAAAAGAAAGAAAACGCATGAATAAATGCAGAATAAACGAAATTTGATCAAAAATATGATTGTGTAGCTTCAAAAAACTCTCCCTTTAGGTCTCTATTCTTTTACATTGAATTGAACCACTTTTCACAGCAATTTTTACAATAAGATATTTCCTAATTGTATGACTTAGTGCCGATTTTTTCACCTTTGAGTAAAGTTAGAAACTCTTGTGGAAAGGCTGTACGCTGTCCCTTCAGGCAGTAGGGGAGCACCACAGTTTCTTAGAACATCGTTTAGCGCAGGGGTCATTTGGATGACCTGCGCTAACCAGCAGACCGCGGACTGGTTAAGGAGGACGGTCGGCATTCTAGGAAACCTTTGGGAGGGCGCGGATTTGACCGTGGTTGAATCTAAGGACCTCCCGAGAAGACCCAGGGTTCTGGTTTTCATCCCGGACGAGTCCGAGGTTGAAAAAGTAAGGAGACTTCTTCAGCTCCAAAATACCTAACTGAAGACGCCGGACTGGCTTTTAATGAGCAGGAAAATTGAAAAGGGAGGGCAACTCCTAGCCTTTTCAATTGACGAAGCGTCATACGGGGCCCTCGAGAGGTCACAATTCCGGACCTATTATAAGCTAGAAAGGGTGACCTGCAGGGTCCTAAGGCGGCCTGGCAAAGATCAGGATAATCCAGATCTACCTCCAGCACTGTAAGGCTACTTTGGCTGTACTTACAGTGGCGATGCGGAGGTTTGAAGTGGCTCCGGTACAAGAACCGTGGATTAGACACAGTACAATAAGAGGTTTAGGAGGGTTGGGTGGAGAGTTATTATATGACAGATCCACAGATACCCTTTGAACCTGCATAATTGTCAAAAAAGGCATAAAAATACTGCTGTTACCTAATTTCTGTTCCAGAGATTTGACAGCAGTCAGAATCAAGATTTATGCAGGAAATGGACCGAAGGAGAGAATACTCGGATCGGCATATCTACCTTCAAACGATCCTGAAGCAACACCTACCAGAGAAGTGGAGGAGCTGGTGAGATTAAAGGTAATATTGCAAAAAAAACTTATCGGTATCCCAGGAAAACAGCACACAATGCTTCCCTGGAATGTAATCTCCCGAAGATGAGAAAGATGATAAGAACAGCAATCGACCTAGAAATGGCTGTGGATGAGTTTAATGACACAGTCACTAGCGATTTCAACGATACCTGTCCCTTAATAGCAAGGAACCCTATCAGGAAAGTTCCATAGTGGAATGATGACCTTGCTATACTAAGGAAACAGGTGAGACAAAAATTTAATAAGACTAAAATAACCGGCGAATGGGAACTATATAGAACCATACGCTCCTGTTACAACATAGCTTTACGAAAAGTCAAGAGAGAGACTTGGAGAAGGCACTGTGAGGAGATAGCAGGCACTCAAGAATGTGCCAGGCTCCAAAAAATTTTGTCAAAAGACACACAAGGCACAATAAACACCCTTAAGAATGAACTGGGAGAGTACACAATCACAGGGAAAGAAACAGTAAGGGAACTCTTCAGGGTTCACTTCCCTGGTGTACAAACCATAGCACACACACCGGCTAACCGGAATCTAAACGGACTGAAATCTCATAATAGAGCCAACAGGGAAGATTGGAGGATAGCCAAACAAGTGGTGAACTATGATAATAGTTGCATAGAACAAACATTTTTGACAACGAAGAATGGGGCTTACATAAGAGGCAACTTTTATTGGCAAATCGTAAATCCGTATTTTTCTAGAAAGAGTTTTCTCGGAAAAGATAAAACTAATTGTACCTGTGGGTATATAAACTGGATCCTCGCCTTGTTCTACTTTTCTATTTATTCGTTTCACGTCAAGGCTAGGTTGATATCAGAAAACTCTTTGATCTCATCATCTGTTAAAGTTATACAAACATCTCTAACAATTTCTTTGGAAGTTATATGATGAAGAGGAATGAAAACTTCGGAATAAAAATATTTGCAGATTTATAATCATCAACACGCCTAATTTGTTTTATCCCTTTCGGTTAACCTTTACAATTTGTATAATATTAAGGTTAAATATTGATTTATCTATATTCAAAATATGAAGATTACCTTCATTTTTTTGTTTCCCTTATACATAATCTTTATGGTGGCCTGAATTTGAAGCAGAGTATCGTTTTTCTTTTATTATTATTTGAATAATTCCACCAGCATTTTTATCTGATCGATCAGGAAGTTTATGATCTCCCATTTTAGGCGGTAGAGAAACCCTAAACTTCTTTAGATCAACGGAAATTCAGGTAAATGTGTAGCACTAGGATTTCTAACAGAATAAAAGGGGATAACAATCTAACAATCCCTCACCAATTTTTTTTCAGTACTGATGCATTCAAGGGGATGGTATTCATCAGGTGATTAACAAACAAAATTCCTTTTAAAACCCAATAAATATATTCGGATTTATAAGAAAAACATTTAGAAATTACTTAATTGACAACCTTTTCATGAAACCCTAATGTTTACATACCTATATTTAAGGATTTATAGGTATACATATAACTATTTAAAAATGTTTTGTGAATACGCATGTAAATTTTGTTGATTTATAAAACTATTCACAGACTTTTAAATTAAATATGGAATGAGTATCTAAGTACTGTACAATAAAATAAAAAAACAAGTAAAATTTTTATTATATATTTTAATTGTTTACAGCTGTACTACTTAGGATAAACCTTGTCGTATGGTATTTTCTCAATGCCTTGTGCGATAATTTTATCCAAAAACACGGTTACCACGCTTTCTATTGCTGGAGTAATTTCATCTACCAGAGCGTTGACGTTCTTCTTGAAAATATCATTAGTTAGAAATTCTGAAAGGAAACCATCAATTAGTCACAGTATTCTTTAATTAAAGGGGTTAATGGAAAAATGATTCAACCAGCAAAGCAGCCATTTCGAGATTATTTCAATTTGCCATATTATATCATTGTTCAGAATGTTATAACAAAACACCAGTAGGTTGTTCGAAAAAAGTTTAACCTTTTTATCTAGATACTTTTCAAAAAGAATTAGTAACTAATTAAATGAAAACTATAATGTTGCAGTTAATGATGCTATACTCGTTCTTACCTAATTCTTTAGACTCTTTAAAAAGACCTGTAAGTCCATAGTCAGTAATATTACCAATACGCATTTTGGCAGAAATTTTGGATGCGTGTACATATGAAACTCCATTTTTCAGTCTTTCTTCTAAGGTGTAATTACATTTACAATTTGAATCACCTAAAAACCAAAATTGTCCAATTTTATTACTATTTATTAGCTACAGTAGATTTTTTTTTGTAAAAGTTTTACTAAAACTTACTTATGTTAGCAAAAATAATGCCATGGCCATTAAGAGTAGCAAAGAACAGGTTCCCTTTCAGATCGTATGTTCCATTTATAGACATTTGAGGAAGGTCTACGTCTATAAATGAGAACATTGGTTTATCAGGATGAAACCTAAAACAAGAAACGAAATTATTTTATCACTATTTTAAAATTTGACAAGTTAAACATTAAGTAGTCCATTATGAAGGGCAGGATACGAAACAAGTGCCCTAACGTTTATTAACAAAAAAATTCCAATACTGAATTTTATTAGTAATTCCAGGCAAATTAAAACAGATTCAAACTTTTATGCATAGCATAAACTTTATTAAAGCGGATACTCCTACTTTTTTGATGCCCAATAAAGAGGACTTCACCCCAGATTTGTTAATGTACACTGACAATCTTAGCAGCGCAATCAAGAATATAGAAGTAATCCGCGACATTGGGACAGACCACCATTCTATAATGTTTACTATCGAGCAAGGAACGCCCTCTCCTTTTGCAGACCCAGCTCGTAAATATTATTTCAATAAATCAAACATTAAAAAAATAAATAAAGAAGTAAACCAACTAATTTCAAAGAACACTAATATTACTACCAATGAGTCAATAACTTTCACACAAAGGTCTCTGAGATTATCACAAACAACACACCAAAAACTGCAAACAATGCTCAGAGAATACAGGCAAAACCCTAGTCGGGAAGTCAAAACAAACATCAACAACTTTAACAAAGACATTCAAAAATTAGTAAAATAATTTCAGCAACACACATGACTACAGATCTGCCAAGTAATCAATCGAGAACAGGGAAGGAACTTCTATCATAAAATAAATAAACTGTCAAAATATAAAACAAGGAATAGAATTCCAAATATCACAAACAATGGTATAGACTATGCCACAGATGAAGAAAAGGCCGATGCATTCAAGGAGAACTTCATTAAAACATATAACGAAACGAAAAACCCATCTTTTGAACAAGAAAACTGGAATAATGTAAACTCATGGTGCAAACAATATTTTAGGAACAACCCAATCAATGAGGAAGATAACACAGACTTCGAGGAGGAAAATATTTTCAAATAATCCGCTCCAGGATTGGACATGATCCCATGGCAAATTGTGAAAAAACTAGAATATAATATACATATCTATATTATAAAAATGTATGAATTCTGTTACAAAAACTCGCACTTTCCAGATAAATAGAAAAAAGGCACCATCATAGTTATCCCAAAACCAGGCACAGACCACAAAAGAATGGATAATTACAGACCAATCACCCTTCTTCCAGTTTTTGGAAAACTATTCGAAAAATGTATTAAGGTCATACTATATCAGCATTAGTAAACGAACGAATCCCGCAATTTCAATTTGGGTTAAGAGAACAAATCTCCGCTCTGGTACGAACCACTCTGCTGGTTTCCAATATGCAAACAACAAAATTGAACAATAAAAAATCTGAAATTCTCCTGTTGGACAATAAAAAAGCCTTTGACTGTGTCTGGCACAACGGCCTTCCATTTAAACTAAAACTTCTTAATGTGCCTGATAGTCTTATAATTCTTATTAAAAACCTTCCTTCAAAACAGAACTCTAAGAGTTAAAATAAATAGCCACACATCTCCAAGTTTCATAGCAAATCAAGGTGTACCGCAAGGGTCGCTCCTTTACAACATATATTGCTTTGATTTTCCTTCAGGTCAGTTACACCTCAATGCAGTAAATTATACACTCCAATACGCAGATGACACGGCCTTGATATCGCATGGAAATACGCTGAATCAAACCATCACAGTGCTACAAAATCAATATAACGAAGTTGCTCAATGGCTCAATAAATGGAGATTACAAGTTAACCCACAAAAATGTCAATTAATGATATCCTATCATGATCTAAGACCGACATCACCTACACTCTTCATATTTAACCAACCAATCTATCCCGTATCCTCAGTGAAATACCTAGGCCTTATTATTGATAATAAGCTGAACTTCAATGAACACACCCGCAGACAAAAAAAAACAAAATCAAAACCAGAACCAAACATTTCCGCTCTTTAAAAAATTTTTTTTCTGAAAACTTTACCACACTGTAGCTCAAAAGTTAAGAGGTTTAGGACATGTGTTCATTTGAACATTTTTCCTTAAAATAAGTCAAAAATTCAACATTTAAAGTTTGTACAAGTACTTAATAAACACCCTGTATAGCTTGTAAATTATCATACATACCATACAAATTGTACTGGCTGAAGGACCTAGGTCGATGGCCATTTAGTTGTAATATTCATAACCAATAAAGTGCTTTTATTATTATTATTATTATTTTATTTATCAGTAATAGTTTTTAATTAATTAAACTTTATTAATTGGTCAAAACCAAATGTGGCTATTAAAGATGCTGCAAACTATGTTTACAATATAAGTGACAATTAAATAACATTTATTTTCATAAAATTACGGTTTATTTTGTTCATTATCATAATTTTCCTGAACAAAATGTACTAGTTACGCAAATTATTTTAATATACATACTAATTGGTTTTTTTTTATTAATTGTATCTTTGTGCATAAGTAAATACTATGTGTACGTTCTCATCTAAAGCAGACAGATTGTATTAAGGGTATTAAGGTGATTACAGCACCCCCTTATAATTTTCGGACAAGGATATCTCAAAAAGTGATTTTTTTAAAAAATTAAAATTTTGGTAAACTATATAAGGCAATAATATATAAAATATGCATATATTTTAAAATTTTAATTCCTTCCAGTTTCCGAGAAAAAAAATCAAAGGGCTTTAAATTTTGAAATATCATAATGAAAATAAATGCATTCCTCAACAGCACCATTCTTAATACAATCCCCAAATTTTAGCTCTTAATCTCTTGTTAATGATTTTTTAAAATTCGCCGAAGTTTGTGGCTAAAACGCCTTGTTAAGTGCTTCTTTCTAGTGTAACGCGTCGTATCGTACACTCTGAGTCATCATTCGTTTCTTGCAACGATTTACACTAGTTTGCACCAGTTTAAACCAGAAAATAGCACTTAACGAGGCGTTAGCCACTAATTTCGGCGAATTTTAAAAAATTCTTAACAAGAGATTAAGTGCTTAAATATGGGGATTATATTAATAATAGTGCTGTTGATAAATGCATTTATTTTCATTATGATATTTCAAAATTTAAAGCCCTTTGATTTTTTTTCTCGGAAACTGGAAGGAATTAAAACTTTAAAAAATATGCATATTCTAGATATTATTGCCTAATTTATTTTGACCAAATTTAAATTTTCTAAAAAAATTACTTTTGGAGATATCCTTGTCCGAAAATTATGAGGGGGTGCTGTAATCACCTTAAGATGACCATATATATCTAGTACAGTCAAGTCACTTTGGATTATTGATTATTTTCGGAAAGTGAGGACGCCATTTTTAGTCCAAAATTTTTTTAATAATGGATTACACATAAAATGCAACCCAATTTTAATTTATAACTATTTCGGAGGTCTGAGCCTTTTCGTATTTTTAATGTTTAACATAGTTGGTTAAAGGTTTCATTTTCAGAAAATTTATTGAATTTGTAGTTTATTCATACAATGAAAAAGGTCTAAAAATAGGCCATTTTCTACCACACGTTTTTAATTAAAAACAATTAATTTAAAAAAAGTCAATACCTGAACCACCTAAGTTGGACCTTTATCTACAATTAAAATAAAAAAAATAGTTCGATATACGGTATAATTACGAAAATAGTTACAATTAACTTTTGGTCTACAGACGCCATTCCAATGCACAAGGATACTCTGTCCTCAACTAACAATAAATATATTGACTATGGGTTCAGACACAAAAATTAAATAATATAAAATTTATAAAAATATACGTTCAGTAGTTAAAAAACAATAACTTTGATATTCTGTATGGCCATAAAACTTGTATTTATGGAAAAGAAATGTCATTATAGCAACTGGTGTATACAGTGCTTTTCAGATAAAAGTATCCACCTTAAGTAACTTTTGAAGGACTGATTATTACAAAAAACAAAAAATACGTCAATTAATATTCGAAGGGGGAGATATCGTGCCATATTTAAGTTTGCTGAAAAAGTCACCCTTTCACCCCTACTATCATCCCTTCAATTTTTTTAAATGGCTTCCCCCATTTTTTATCCATTTTTGGATTGTTCTCGTTTAACTGATTTCAAAAATGTATAAAACATGGGGTTTAAAATAATTAGTTTATGATCTACAGGGTTCCATTATTTGAGTGACGAATTTTTACATCTCACCTTACTGACTGCAGCAAAATTGGATTTAGAATACATTATACCTTAATCGTACCGCTAAAAACTTGTTAAAGTGTTTTATGATTTATGATACATGGTAAAGGTATTGGAGATTTGAAAAATGAATTTAAATTACTTTTATAGTGTATTTTGATACATGTGCACATTGATTTGTTGAGGTTATTTATTTGATTTGAAAATGGTTTACAGTTTACAAGAAAGAATTGAACTTGTAGGTTTATACTACAAAAATAACAGTTCTGCACGAGCTGCTGCTAGAATTTTCAACGAAATACACCAAGGAGGTCATGCAACTCATAAGTATGTAATTGATCTTATGCATAAATTTACATCAACCGGGTCAGTTGGCAATAAAAAACATAACCGACTGGAACTCGTAAATAACGAAGCAATTGAAGTCGCAGTTTTAGGACAAGTAAGTCTTGAAAATCAACAAGCACAGTCACTGACAACAATAAGCAGAGAAGTAGGTGTTTCATCTTCTACAGTTTATCGAATATTACACAAGCATAAGTACCATCCATACAAAATTAAATTGGTTCAACAGTTTTATGAAGATGATTTTGATCGTCGTCTTGAATTTTGTGAACTATTGAGTCAGCGCTTGACTGACAATCCACATTTGTTGCACAACCTTTGTTTTTCGGATGAATGCACATTTTCAGTTAATGGTATAGTTAATAGACATAATTGCAGATATTGGGCTGAGAGTGATCCACATGTTGTGCGTGAATACCACACACAGAATCCTCAAAAGTTAAATGTATGGTGTAATATCCTAGGAGACCACATAGTCGGACCTTTCTTTTTAGAAGGAAACTTAAATGGAGAGTCATATCTTGAGTTATTGAGAGAAGTAATTGATCCACGTATTACAACAATAATAGAAAATGATCATAATCTTTCTGAAGATTTGCTTGTCTTTCAACAGGATGGAGCGCCTCCACATTTTGCTTTGCCAGTACGACAATTTTTAAATGAAACTTTCCCCAATCGTTGGATAGGTAGAAGAGGCTCGATGATGGAGTGGCCACCTAGATCACCGGATTTATCACCTCTAGACTTCTTTTTATGGGGTTATTTAAAAACAAAAATGTATGCTACCCAACCAGAATCTTTAGAAGATTTATGACAAAGAATAGAGTATGAATGCCTACATTTAAATGCACACGTGTTCGGTAATGTCAGGGAGGCTTTTCAATCCAGGTTATACCATTGTATGGAAGTAAATGGTGGACATTTTGAACAATTTTTATAATAAATTTTGAAAATGAAATATTCGTTTTGTCATTGGAAACGCTTGTGACAAAATGATTAAAATAAAAGTTTTGCACAATTCAATTTTATTTTAATTTAAAATTCTGTAGATCGTAAACTAATTACTTTAATCCCCATGTTTTATACATTTTTGAAATCAGTTAAACGAGAGCAATCCAAAAATGGATAAAAAAATGGGGCAAGCCATTTAAAAAATTGAAGGGATGATAGTAGGGGTGAAAGGGTGACTTTTTTTAGCAAACTTAAATATGGCACGATATCTCCCCCTTCGAATATTAATTGACGTATTTTTTTGTTTTTTGTAATAATCAGTCCTTCAAAAGTTACTTAAGGTGGATACTTTTATCTGAAAAGCACTGTATATTGGAGGCGGTGTCGATAAAAGTAATTTCAAAAATTTTACAGATTTAGGTTATATGTCAACGAGTTGATTGTATACTGTGTTTTCTGTAAACAATAAATAGTATTTTGTATTTTATTACTGTTTTTTTTTGCAAACAGGCAGAAAATTATTAATCTATATACTTACACGTATCTCTTGAACTTATATTGGTCCATACCAAATATCGACATGTTAGTGATATGGACTTTAAAGTTGTAAGCTCTGCTTCCCTTTTGATCAATCGTCACCTCTGGCACGATGAATTCCTTGATTGGCGGAAGAAAATCTGGAATACCCTCCCTAACGTAAGGTCGAACGTATTCTGTGGCATTTATAAGACATTCTTCCATCTTCGGATCAGATCTGCGGCATCTCGGAAAATGAGATGCTAAAAAAATAAGGAACTGATCAACAATTAGTCCTTATTTAACTGATTACGAACACTCAGGGCATAATGGGGTGTAGTATCGTCTAGTTGGAACTAAATTTTGATAACAATAGGTTTTTCCAACAGGACTGACTCTCTATTTTCTTGAGCCAAATGTATTACTTATTTTTGCTGCACAAAGGAATGTCCTTTATTTCTTGAGGTATCAAAATAAAAATTCTAGAAGCCAGGTAATCACTACATTTTTAGTTAATACTTTTTTCTGAGAGCGGATATGAAATAGCTCTAAGTCAACGTGTATTGAAGATATTAATATTATTTTAGATTTCTTCATAAATAATATTTGTTAAAAGTATAGCTATCTGATATCATATTTATTGGCACAAACATTTTTTTTTGTAAATTATTCTTAGAATTTAATTTTGTAATTAAAAATATTACACCACGCATCTCCCAAACCAATGATACTGTATACTAATACGGATTGTATTAAAACAAAATAAAAAACTTTAAGTAGTGTAAGTTTAGAAATTCACAAAGATATCTAAATTTTGGTAAAAAAACCATTTTAACGTTTTTGGATGGAAGTAACAATTTTAGCGGATATATCTAAGTGTAGAAGTCCCAAAACAGTACCTTGTGAGACACCAAAGGTTACGATATCTATGTGTTATTATTCACATTGTCAATTTTCATTAACTGTTCTCTATTTGATAGATGACTTCCAAAGATACTGGATACTTTCCAGAAAATCCTATATTTTTCCAATTTTTATACCATTTTTATAACATACGAACTCAAAAGCCTTTGAGAGTTCCAGAAATATACGGAGTATAGTATTTTTTATCTAACTCATCATCGTATATGGTTGAATTATTTATAAATTGCCTTCCCAGGTTGGACAAAATGGCAAACCAAAATAAAACACAAAAAGAATATATTTAACATGTAAATAAAAACAAAAACAATGTAAGATATAACAGAATGCTTAAACTCGGTCCTTGCAAACTTGACAAACTTCATGTACCCACTTTTAGCATAGTTGGGACTGAACCAAGCTTCTTTAGAATTTGCTTTGCCAAACAGATCGTTAAATAAAGACACGGACAGCCCTCTTCAGTATCACTAATACGATAGGGATCTTCTACTCAACTAGTCTCGTCTTTCATCAACCTAACCCTTCCAAGAGGTCTTTTACTTTTTCTCGACTGCTTTCTAAGTTTTTTCTACTAGCTTCCTTTCAACATAGTTTTTGTATATCTTTCTTTGTTATTCTTGGGTTTTCTAAATTTCCTTATTCCGAATGCTTTGGACTTTTGGTTAAAATATCTTAATATCCAGTTGTTTTACGCTTGATAGTCTTTCTGACGTTAACAAATATCTTCCTATCTAAAAACGAATGCAAGTCCTCGATCATTTCTATCTATAAAAGTTAGTTGTTCTTATATTGTGCTATGTTGGCAAAGGGACCTTAATGCACTGCGACCTAAAAGATCTGTTGTACTCCCTAATATAACAAGGCAATATCTTAATGTCGATAATGACCCTTTCAATCCTATCTTCTCAAGAAAGTATAGGATTTGGAGTGGCTTCAAGTTAGGTAGATCTCCTTCTTCTATTTGCTTCTAGGTATAGTGCGCTTGAATTCTGGAATGCTACACATTCAGTCAGAATGGGAATGAAGGTTTCGTCCTCCTCCTCATAGAATCTGCACTTACTATATTCTACTACACTCAGGTACGGAGGTGTCCTTTAAGTCGGCAATGTCCAGTAAGGATTCCTGTTACAATGCGTAGCCCATTCTTGCTCAGGCATATACAGGCATCCGATCTTTTCTGGTTATATTCACTCAGAACTATCTTAGCCTGTTTTAGCCCCAAGAGATTGTTCCAATTATGGGTTCTTCTACTGCCTAATCCTCCTAACATTGTTTTACTGCTGATATCACAGAACGGCTCAGATTTCACAAAGGGTGTTTGAGCCCCTTTCCTTGCGAGACTATCTGCATTCCTGTTACCCTGTACGTCGTTATGTCCCGGGACCCACGTGAGAGTCACTTTATTTTCCTCGCCTAGCTCATTCAATTTTTCTAGGCATCTCTCGTCTACGATAGTTTTTCTCGATGTTAAACTGGATACACTTATCAATAGTTCTGCATACCATTAGGGCTTTTGTGGCCTTATTTACTACTTCCTTCTCATGTAAGTTCCAGAGAAGTTTGTTGTCCAGGGTTAAGCCTAGATATTTGACTTCATTTTTCCATTCTATATCTATCCCGTCTAATTTGACGGTTTTGAGATAGTTTTCTTTTCTTTGAAAAGGCACCTCCTTTTGGAGTCTTCTAGTCGAATAAATTATTACATTTAAAATCAAAAACTTACTTACTCAATAAAATCTGTATCTGCCGCACTTTACTCTACTTTACACTAACACACTTTTACCAGCTTAAACAATATTGCACTAAATTTTCTTGTATCTTATTTTTTTACCTAAATATTTTGCTGTATCTACTTAGGTTATTTGCATCTATATGATTCTCTCCTACTGCCAAGATGACACCTGCAAAGGTGGCTGTTGTATTATCTTTTAATTCTGGAAGATAATGGAGCAAACTTCTTTATTTGGTGGACTTGGTCAATGATCGAATGTTTCTCTCTAAAGCCAAGTTGATGTGACGGAATTACAATTTTTTCTTCTGTGATTGGTTTTAATTTCTTCAGGAATGCCTAGTTTTGAAATTACAGGACGTAAAGAGATTGGTCTATAAGATAGTTTGATTGGTTGCATTATTACCTCAGCCACTCTCCATATCTTAGGTATACGCTTTATTCTGAAGGAGGCATTTATAAGATATGGCTTTCCTAGTTATTTTAGTATATCTTCGGTACTTTATATAATGGTAGTTAATTGAATATTAATCCTAGTGACTCAGTCGATTAAGAATTACCCGTTTTTTATCCAATAATCATTTAAAATAAAATTCAAATGTTCTATTCATGTGTCATTATGGAAAAATAAAACATGTAGGTATAATTAACTAATTAAATAACATTGTTTTGTTTTGATTAGTCTTTCAATTAATTACATATTCATGTTATAATTTTAAATTGAAAACAACAATAGTTGAATATTTGAGCGTTAAAATAAAGGTAAAATAAAAAACAAATTTTATCTATACCACGCAAATATCCTTTTAATTTTAAAATGGATATCTAATCTACATATTATAAACTTCAAAAAAAGGTATTAGGCATACCTTATCTTCAAATTGTTCAAATGTTCAAATTTGTTGCTTAAGTCATTTAGTTTTATCTCACAAACTGTGCTCCAAGGATTAAATTTGGGGCAGCTATTTTTAAATAAATTCATTGACGATATTCATAAAACTGTTGAAAGAACTCTCAATTTGTTTACTTTTCAGGTGATTTAAAACAGCTCCACAACTCCGTGTCGGCGTCTTTGATCTGGCGGTAGAGAACCAAGCAAGACGGAATGGTGCTATCTCTGTTAGATTAAAGGGAAAAGTCGGGCCCGGATTAAGCAATTTTTTTATTATTGAAAAAATTGAAAACCTTGACGTAATAAGGTTGGTTACATGCCATGTTAAGTAAGTTTTGGGAAATTAAATTTTTAATTTGTTTTAAATCTGTCAAATATAATTAAAAAAATTATTTAAATATAAATATTACGAAAAATAGCACATCTTTCGGATTAGAGGTAAAATAATTTGTATGTGGCTAGTAAAATCCTCGTTAACAAATGTTTTGAGCTAAAACAGTCACTTCACGACAAATTGTGACTTGGATCCTTTTTACACCAAGGGCTTCAATTGTTAAAGAAATGTGTCACGCTCGTGGATGCAAATCAAGTGGTACCCCGTGTCTCTGGCAAGTGTTACTCTTCGCGCAAAGGGTTTATACCTAGATAAACGAATGCTTCGACTGAGGTCTGGGAACTCTATGGTATTTTGGAATTATAAAGAATTTGTGCTTTTATTTTAACAATATTGGTTACAGTTCATCAAATTTCTAGAGGTGTTCGACGCCCAGACAGAGAACGCGCTACGTGTGACTAAGATAGCTATTGTACAGTCTGCTAAACAAGTTATTTTAAATAGTTTTTAATATTTTTAGGTAATTAAATTTTAAAAGTGTGGAATAGTTTAGGGATTAAATTGGTCTGATTGGACTTTCTTAGAACGTTTTTAAAAGCAGCTAAAGATAGTATGTAGAATTGAAAATAATTATTATGCCATAAAAGGTGTTTTGGAATTCCTTCAACCTTTTGAAATTGAGTCAGAAAATATAAATTTTATAGGATAGCGGAAAATACCTATAATTTTTTTGTAGGCCTTTGTAAATCGTGGAAATAGTTTATATTTTATTTCTATCTTATTAAGGAAAATGGTACCTATAATTAATAACGGTTGTTTCTGAAACATTACTAAAATTTTCGAAATTTTGTTCTTCTACAAAATAATAAGCTATACTATTTAGAAAAAAATTTATTTCTCTTATAATTTTATAAAAAATAACAGGGGAATATTTACATTTCTTGATCTATTAAACAAAACGATAAATTATCTCGACGAATGACACCATGTTCTAGTACGGAAGCTAGCTTTACATTTTTGTTGGTGGTTTCATGGGTTTCATATCAATTTTTTGTAATTGTAGTTTACACGTACATATACCTCTTAACACTTGTTTGCTTTATTAAAAAAGTGTGTTGTGATTTACGTCGAAATAAGTCAAAAACAACTTGAAACCCCATATAAAATCAAAAAGGAGAAACGGAAAAAAATTGAGCCTGTAAATGAACACAACTCAGAAACAAAAATAGCTATCTAATAATAAAAAAATAAAATTTGATTCTTGTGCAGCTTCATCTATATCATTAACTGTTTTTGGTTTTTTAATGGTTTTTCTTGGTGATGAAAATTTCGATATCTCACGGTTATCGATTCTTTTTTTCTCTTCAGAAATGCGGACGACAGTGTTTTTAGATACTCCTGTGGCTGCAGCAACACGATCATTTACATTTTTAAATGGTATTGAAGGTGAATTAAAGTTTCCTTCTCTTCTCATAAACTCTATAACATTGGCTATTATTTCGCGAGATTGACTGTTAATCACGCGGCCTCTTAATTTGCTATTAAACTCCATACTTAGGTTCTATTAAACTGTAATGAGCAAAAAACACAAACGAAAATAAAAGAAATGTTTTAGCGAAATTTACATCTGACATTTACGTCTGAATGAAATAGTGAAATACTTGATGCGCAGAGTGTACTTTCATTGCGTAAATCCGTCGGGATGCCTGTCAGTAGTGCTTTCTCTGTCTAGCCGTCGAAAGCCTCTAGAAATTTGATGAACTGTATATTTAGATGTATTCTTATTAATTGAAATACAGATTTGTAGAAGTAATACTTTAACAGTTTTTATTAATATAATATATTCAATTTTTATCTGACCATACCGAAGTAGGGAATTTTGAAACTTTATAGTAATGTGAAATTTGAATTACAATATTACACGATATTACATAATTAGTACTTATTTTAGGTAGGTACTAAATTTGTACTTGGAGAAAGTAATATCGATTTTTACAAGAAAACTTGAAAAGTAAATTAATTTAGTTCTTATTTCTGATGTAAAACTTAAACCAAGAAAACAAATAAATTGTAGTTTGTTCAACAAGGGTGGATATGATAGCCATATCACACAAAGACGAAGTTTGAGCACGACGTCGTAGGCGGAGTACTCAATCGTCTGATTGTGATATGAACAATCCACTCGATATAGTCAGTATATTTTTTCTACGACCCACTAACGAAAATCTACAAATTTAAAAAATTATTTTAGGTTATTTAGACAAAATAACTAATTTTAAAATAATTTACGAAGTTGACTAATTTATAAAATAAAATAAACATGAAAAATTAATTAGTCCTCGGCCTAGATTCGATCCCGGGCTTTTCGCATGGAAGGCAGATGTTCTGTCCTCATCTTCACCGAAACTTTCAGGACTTTAGTTTTAATACTCGTAATTAAATTAGTATCATGTAGTTTGATTAAAATTTTTTTTTTTTAAATGTGGACATAATAAAAACAAAAATGCTATTATTTATCGAGTCTACACAAAAATTTTATTGTATATTTAATATCAATAACTAAAATATATATTGACAATTAGTTTAACAGAATTATCACTTATTTAAAAATTTTTAAATAATAGGAGTTGGGTGACCAAAATATGAACTGTGATTTGTAGATTTAATTTTGTTAAAGTGTTCTCACTACCTAAAATGGATATGAAATATATTCGTAGTTGAACGCAATAACATAATTTTTCGTTTTGTAGTATGTGCGTAGATTGGCTAATATCCATGCACAGATTACAAAACGAAAAAGTATGCTATTGCCTTCAATTGAACGAATATATTTTATATCCATTCTAGGTAGTGAGAACACTGCAAAAAAAATAAATTCGCCAATCACCGTTCATATTTTGATCAACCGACTGCTATTATTTTTAAAATTTTAAATAAATTACAATTCTGTCAAACTAATTGTCAGTATATTTTTTAGTTATTGAGATTAAACATACAATAAAATAAGTTATTCTTTTGGAAAACGTTAGCATGGATGACTAAAGGGTATTGGGTTAATTAATTCTAAAAGTGTGGTACAAATGTTATTTTTTGTAGCCAATTCTTCAAAATTATTTTAAAATATCTTTTCAATATTGAATATTAGTTCTACAAATTCATCATTTGACAGTTGCAGATTTCCAAATGTATCTGAATTGGCGTTATCATATGCCTTTTAAAAGCAATAAAAAGAAAAATCGTCTAATTCAACGTGATCTTTGTTATATTTAAGACAGGTATCGCAGGAGTGAATCCGCAAGGCTTTTATTAAAAGGTAACCACACACATACCTGATAAAATTTTTCTGTAGCAATTCGTCTTTACAATAATTTAGGGTGTTAATAATTTCATCATAAAATAAAATACAAGGTGTTCCATTTAAAAAACATACATTTTAATTTTCCAGGCAAAACGTGACACCCTGTATATCCAAAGATATTTTTAAAATATGTAGGTATTTTTCAAATCCATATAACTTTTATTTAAAACTTTCTTGCGTGTCTACAACAAAATAATGAACAATAACGCACTAATGAGACACCCTGTATAAATTATATTTTTAACAATGAAAATTTCTTATAATGTAGTACTTATCGGTTTGGGTCCTTGGGAAAACTAAAGAATGTTTTCTTGCAGGTATAACCCTTATTAAAACAGCTTTTGACTGCACAAACTCATTCTACTCACAGCTAAAGAGTCACCAAAATAATAACAGTACCTTTAACTCAAACAAAATCAACGAAATTATAGGCTCCACGAAATTATACAATCAACGAAATTATACGCACGACTCAACACCTTGCCTAAGTACGCTTCTGAACGCCAAAACCGTCTTTTCCCTTCAAAGGCGGAGCTTAAGCGATGCGCGACGAAATCGACGCAAACCGTTGCCGCCAAGAGAGTGTTTTAGCTGTATTGTATAAGCTGTGCTAACGCCTCAAAAGGATTTAAATAATTTGGTTCACTGGCATTATTATATCCTAATGAGTATATTACATCAATCAGATGTCACTTTCCGCAGTTATTAAAATAAAGGTAAGATTCATTAGAAGAATAGTTTGAGAATATTTAATGTTAATGCACTCTTAACTGCTTCTGTAGTAGAGTAGATCATATTGATCATGAATATTCGTTATGGAATAATCTTTTTGATTTTCCCAAAATTAATCAAATAGTTGCTTACCAAAGGGAATAAAGCATGCAGAGAACGGGTTAGAGCAAAAAGAAGAGCAGGAAGAAGATGGCAACAATCTGTTTCAAACAATAAAACTAAAAAACAGAAAAGAGTAATTCAAAAGCTCAATGAAGAATCAACAAACTCATAACTACAGAATCTCTCACCATATGAATTATCTTTTAATATTTGTATATAATACTACTACTGTAATGCCTAAAAAGTCGAAACCATCTTCAGTTTAAAGCAATGAATTTTTTAACCATGACAGAATTATAAAATAAACTTACGTAGTTCTGTTAAAGCTGCTATTTCTACTGTTAAATTTATGATCACAACAAAACCAAGTAGAAATTTAACAAACATTTCGTTGGAAAAAGTTGTGTTCAGCGAAAATACTTTTCTTGTATGATTTTTATATTCAATCAGATAATTTTAAATGGTGTCCAAAGAGAGAATTTATTTGCAATTAAGTATTCATGTTTGACTTTGTACCTTGAATTAATTGTCGGTAATTGCAAATAGTTTCTAATCAAGTTTATTAAGGTGTGATGTTGGCCTTTTTTGATATCAAAAGGCTGTGAATGATTGAAGTTGAAGTGGGCTTTGAAAAAAGAAACTGTAACAGTCTTTTATACTATTTTTTCTACTGTTATAGTATAAAGTTAAACTTTTTCAACTATTTTTGATTAAGAAATTAAGTTCATTTACTGATTTGCTAATTCTGGTAAAATAAAGTTAATATTTTCGTATCAGATTTTTATCTGATAAAACAAACTAGTTATTAACTAATTTTATGACTATTTACAGATAGAATCGAACAGAAAAAAGCTCAAACTGCCTATATTTTATAAATGAATTTACTAGTCAACAAACTAATAAAAAATAAAAAAAAAGATCTTATTAATAGAAAACGAATTTATTACTTTTTATACATGTATTTTCTTAGCAAACGAATTCCATGACGATGAAACATTGTCGCCGAATGATTTTGAAGCTTTGGACACTCTATCGAGTAAACCAGTCGATGCTTTGTCTGTGTTTTTATTGTAGGGCCTTTCTCTATTTGTTTCCAAGTAATATTTGCCCGTTTTCGTTGTAGTCAAGTCTCCCATCGATACTGTGCTGGTTTCGTTACAAATTTTGCGCAAGTAGGACCATTCCGAGCATTCTTTGGCTACCAAATAGTCGACGGGATTTTGTACAGCTTCGATGAAGTAACGATAAGACCTTTCGTGATCGCATACAACTGTAAATAAAAACGTTTTAAGAATGTTTACAATTTTGTACTTACAGAAGTGATAATTTTCAAAATTTAAAGACAATAAATGAATAAAAGTTATGTTTTGACTAAAAAATATCACAAACATTGCATTTTTATCACTTTGTTGAGTTCGGTGACTGCGGTCCCATTTACCCAGATTTTTCTTCTGAATGGGGCAACTGGGACACCAGAACAAGGGCAACTGGAACCACTATATCCCAGTTACCTCTTGGCCATAAATGCCAATAAGTACATAAGTACAAATATTTTTTTTTAGGTGAGAAGAACATATATCCGAAAGACAGAAAAAGGAGTAGGCATATGCTACACGAGAAGAAGCCTTGAACTTGTTATTGGTTACAGGACTTAAAAAGGGACAGCAAAGTTTTATGGAATTCAAAGAACTTCCTTAAAACACTATTTAAATGGTTACTCAAGGACATGGATGTGTCGCATCAACGGCGGAGGTGGCAAACTTCAGCTGGGAGAGGAAAATAAATTAAAACTAGTCGAGGGGATAAAAGATTTGGAAAAATGGGGATTTGGATTATCCCGAGCAGAAGTCTTAGATGTACTGCAAACGTTTATACACGATAATAAGTTATTAACTCGTTTCAAAGACAGCCGACCAAGAGAGGAATGGTTGCTTTTGTTTTCAAAACGACATAATCTTTCATTTAAAAAAAATAACAGGTTGTAGAAGCCGCGAGAATGAAGCATATTAATCAAGTCACTGTCCACGGGTTTTATGATATTCTGTCCAATACAATAAAAGACTTGAAATTGGAGTACAAACCATCGCAGATTTTTAATTGTAATGAAACTTCATTTAGCCACGACCCAAGTAAGACAAAAATAATGTGAGTCAGAGGTACCAGAACAAAACGGCTAACTGCCAGTTGTGGAAGAGAACATACATCAAAAAGGTTCGATCGAGGCCACTTATTTTTAAAATGGTTTACAAAATGCTTTTTAACCTCCGTTCCTGAGGAATCTGAAGCTACTTGGCCTATAGCAATAGAAGAGGATTATGTAATGGACTGTATTTTTCAGGACGTGTTAAAGAAAGAGTTGAAAATCGAGTAAAAATTTCCTGCATGGAAAAGTATGGAAAACTTGGTAATTCTTGGAGATGGCCCAAAGTAGAAGGTTCGATATGGTACGATAGTGCAGAAGTTGTAAAAGTGATACATCCACCAAAGGTGAACCACAGCGGCATATTTGATGTACCATTGATGAATAAATATTGGCATGAAGTTATGAATTAAGTTAGTTAAGTAATAAATGTTTTTTGCCTTAATTTTTGTGTTTACTTACAGACAATTTTAAATGTTACAGCCATTATAATCTACAAAATCTTACTTTCACAAAATCAAGACTAGGTAAACCAAATTTGGACGCAAAATTTAAAGTATCATAAAGTATTACCCATTTACCTTCAACAAAGTTTCATATTTTATAAAGAGGAATTTAAGCTAGGTGTCCCACTTGCCCCAAGTTTCGGGGATAACTGGGACCTCCGGTAGAGTTTAAAAAAATATACTTCGAAAAGTATTGAAGTTGGAACAAGTTTAATCATCACAAATGCAAGTCATATAAATATGCTAAGTACCATCCAAAATTTTAGAATTTATCTTAAACACTGAAATAGTTGGTCTCCATTACCCAACATTACCTTACCTCACTACCTACTTTTGGGCAATCGTTCATAGTTTTAGCTTCTAGCGAACCTTTGAGCTATATGTAATACCTTAGTATACCATTCAGCTACCTTTGTGCAATCGTTTAGCGTTTTAGATTTTAGTGAACCTTTAAAATAATCTTTATATTATACTCTTTATACCTACTTTTATGCACTCGTTCAATGTTTTATTTTATTTATTTTCGATTTATGGCCTAGGTGTATCTCTTCTGTATCTGTATCTGTGAAGGGTGGGTTACCCTACGGCACTTAGGCCTCATTAGGCCCATTGTGCATCCTCCAGAGAAGATAGGCACCTCCTACCTTGTGAACCAGCCTACAGATTTAATGTAGTTGACAACGTCGCCAAAAGGTGCTTCTCTTATATCGGCCGGTGTTAGCCGATACTCGCCGAACACAAATCTTCTAATAAATGAGAGCGTCGAGCAATAGTAAAGGATATACTTGATGGTCTCATCTTCTTGTTTGCACCCTCTGCAGAGTGCGAATTCTGACAGCCCCATGATATGGAGATGCTTTCGTACTTGGCAATGACCAGTCAGAATGCCTGTGACTAGGAGCAGATTCTATTCAGTCAGTCAAGTATTTATTTGCTGCAGTGTTGTCCGGATAACTTAAGAGCTCCCTGGCAACTCTGCAGTTTCTTGTTTCATCCCATCTTTCATTGAATTATACAAGGGAATGTTCTTTGATTAGGTCTGTCACTACCGATTTTGTCAGGCCAATAGAAGGACCAGGTCCAAAAAGTATTTGGTTGGCTGCTTCCTTGGCTAGTGAATCAGAAAGACGGTTACCTTTCGATGTGGCGTGACCTTTAATCCATCTTAAAGTGACCACGTTGTTGATGGATACTTCGGCCAAAGCTTTGTGACATTCTAGTACTAGCCCTGAATAAATTCGTGGTCTGTTCAGGGTGAGTAGTGCTTGTCTACTATCTGTAAAGATGAGCATGTTCCTTCTAGTGATATTGTTTCTGGTTATTTCTTTTGCTGCTATGAGAATCCCCGTTAGCTTTGTTTGAAGTACACTGGTCATTTTATATTTAGGGTTAAGAATCTGGAGTATATTCCACATCCCGAGCCTTGTTTTGTTTTAAAACCGTCGGTGTAGATATGAATCGTACCTGCCACTTCCGGCTCTTCTATTTGTTCTATTATAACTTTATATGGCTTATGAAAGATATATTTCGGAGATGGAGTCCATGTTCACTTAAAGCAATGGGAGCGTATCAAGCGCCTCCTGCCAAAAGTGACGTCTCGCCAGATCCTACATCAGGTTCTATTCCAACCCTGCGTCAGAGCAACCTCCTTGATGTTAATATCAAGGGGAGTGAGACTAAGAATGACTTCCATCGCTCTGGTCGGTATTGTTTTCATGGCTCCTGTTATGTTGAGACATGCTGTTCTTTGAATTTGTTCTAGTTTACCTAGGTAATTCCTGTTTGCTTTTTTTCCTCAATCAGATCTCCCTGAACTACAACCTCTGGCATGGTACTTCTGAGCATTTCTTTGTAATGTTAATCTAAACTTCCATTTTCCCAAAAATGCTTCTAGAGCAAGATTAAGGTAAGTCGTAGACAATTTCAATTGGAAAATAGAAACCTGATAACATGTCAATCTCATAGAACATGTTTTTTATCATATTACTAAAATGTTGCAACTTTGTTTAGGTTCTCCCTAGGGATATGACAACTGTTAAGAATAGGTTTTTTAATTGCTATAAAAGAAAAAGGAAGAAGGTAGGGTGGGTTAAGAAAAATTTAAAAGCCAAAAGCCAGGGCTGGTATATCTAAGAGGTCGCGACATAGCCTTCCATCTTGGACGCCATTTTTTTTTAAATAGTAGACGCTAGACCTGCCAATTTAAAAAAAAATTAAGGGTTTTTTAAAAATGACATCTTCATTGTGTTCTACATAAAATGCCCAATCTTAATTAATTATTCATAACCTCACATGTAGATAGAACACGTCGTGATAAATAGATCACTTTCAATTTGTGCTGTTTTGATTTGGTTTATTTTAGGGCTCTAGTCCCCTTAGTTTATTTATCTTAAAATTTAATATTATTACTACATATTTACCAATCTTTTTAAATTGTTGGTAGGTATAATAGATATTCACTTTGTACGTTTTTATTTAATTTGAATAATAATTTTGGGTAATATCTTGTGATTTGTTTTCTATACGTTTTAGTATATATTTATTTGCTACATCTTTCAAATGATGGCTCTGAAATACCTTTACAACATAGGTTAACTAACAATTTTATTTTATTTTTCTTCTGGAGAATTTTTGAAACAGAAAATATTTTATTTTTATATGAACTTATTGAAATAAGCTACTATTACAAAAGAAATAAAGATTTTATGGTCAACAAAAAATAATTACAGTGAAAGATTTTGATTAGGAACTTTAGAACGAACAATATGCAACTTCTGTATCGTGTTTGTATTGTTGGTTGCCGTAATATAGGTACCATCACCACCTAGCTTAATGGGTACAAATATAGTGTATAGTAGTACTTGACTTTATTTTTATTATAAGTTCTTTCAAATTAAAACTAGATATAAAATACCTACAATAAGAATCTATATTCTATTCTAGCATAACAGTTCATTTTAAAGCTGTGTTGAATTTAAATTAAGTATAATAATTGTAGATCTAGGAAATATCTATATTACTTATCCAATATTTAAACACGGTTAGACTTCAGACGTTCTTACCTGGATCTTTAACCGTCGAGATATCCAAAATATCCACTCTTGTACAGCCAGGCTGGAAGTCACCACCGTTGGGGAAGAAATCAATAGTACCGCAAGCGTCCTTGAATCCAAAACTACCTCCATCAGAATGAATAACATGTACGACTTCGGCATCAGTAGGATTTAGACGTTTATCGTCAGGCCTAACATCGAACAAGGGGCCAGCAGGATCCAAAGCAACGATTCTGTGCAGAGTTTTACCTAATTTTTTCAATCTCTTACCTGCAAATCCACTGATTTGCCCACCTAGAGAGTGGCCTACTAAGATGAATTGGGGCATAGTAAGCTTGTCTTCGTCTACAAGTTTGACAATCATGTCGGCAATTAGATTTCCTGAAAATAATAATCTATTTAGGAAATATTTATCGATAAAAAATATTGTGTATTTCTGTATATTTAAAGTGGATTTAGTCCAAAATTAATGGCGTAGAATACTTACTATTACTGATTGTTGTTGACTACTGTAGAAACTGGCGTATTACTTATAAGAACAAATGCTTACCAATGTCAAATACGTTAATAGACGAAACATAATAAAGTTGATTAGCTGGTTCTTTCCAATCCACACCGATGACAACATCGTTAGGGTAGGTTTTCAAAAAGGCATCCTTAAGGCTCAAAACCCATTCACTGTATGCTGTATCAGTCCAACCATGAGTGATGAAAATGACGTGACCTTTGGTGCCTTTTAATAAATCCAAATTGGTGTCGTTCAATACGATACTTTTGGGTTCAGGTTCGTTTCTGTAAGCGTGGAATATTACTTGGTCCCTGGTGACGTGAGACTTGGTGACTTCTTTGGTTTGGACTGCTACGCCTTTGTAGATATTGAAGAAGTCTTTTCTTAGATCAAGAGGGATTTCGCACAGCACATCTTGGAGAAAATAATCGTTAAATATAAGGTACAGTTTAATTACTTTCATAAGCTATTTTACTAAGATTTATTGCTACAGGGGTTAGTATAACTCATATTTAATACCCTCAAGCAAAAATATATAAATTACTGCCAGCCAGTCTCAGAAAATTAAATAAAAGCCCAAATAAACTCGTTAAACAAATAGTCACTGGGGATAGATAACATTTGAAATAATTCAAACTGTAACTGACGAAATAGTGCCATTATTTTTATGTTTATAGATCTGGTGAATACCTCAAAAACAATTAAAAAAACAGGTATTGTGTCTTTGAATAAAAAAGGTCCAAAATATCTTATTAATAACTGTAGACCAATTTCTTTAATAACAATTTTAACAAAAATATTTGTATTGAACATAATGTCGGTTTTCAAAAAGGCTTTCATGCAAATAATGCAGTTTTAGCTTTATTACAAATAAATTAGACAGCTGTAGATGAAATCAAACTATCTTTATGCGCATTTATGGATCTTGAAAGAGCTTTTGACACTGTGAGCCATCCACAATTGTTGGAGGCTTTGAAAGATTCACATTCGTGGCATTACACAAGAACTCTTAAAGAATCTGATAAAGAACACATAAAAGATGAAAATGAATTAGGTACGAGTCGTACAATTAAATTTGGAATGCCCCAAGGAACAGTGTCGGGTACTTTTATTTTTAATTTATCTAAAAAATCTTTTAACTATTGATATCGTTAGTTTTGCAGATGACAAGGTGGTATTTTATGAAGCTAACAGATGGGAAGAAGTTAAAAATAATAATAATAAATTGGTTTAAATATAAACAACTTGCAGTCAACTATTAGAAAACATTTTTAACAATTAAAAAATTTTTAACGAACAATATATTTCTACAAAATATATAAATAAATGCTTGAACGTCTCAAGAAAGCATTAAAAAATGTAACCACCAAGTTGGGAAGAAAGGTTAGATTTACATCTGGGTAAAATTAAAACCCAAAAATACAACGCTTTAGATTTAATTATGACAAAATGAGATTAATATTAAAGATAACAAATTATGAATAATATAAACGTGCACTCAGAATTGGAAATATATTGGTAGGAGAGTAGATATCTATCTTTTTTCCTCCCAAAAGGAAGGACTTTCATGATGAAGGGATGACAGGGAAAAATAAGTTAAATATAGTTATGATCTAGATTGTAAACTCTATGAAAGACATTTTTGGTAACGAATATTAGCATTTCGTTTACAACAATTTCTGTCATAATTTTTACACTCTCCATATGGTAACTCTACTAAGAATGATGTCCACGAAACCTAGGCAAGGAATAACAAAAAAAAAAAATGAAAATAGTTTCAGATACAGAAGCAGTAGACGTGTATGTGGTGAGATTGGAAGTAGAAAGTACCACACGAGCAGGCTTTTCTAGACATGGAGCGTTCATTAACGCCCTTCCTCAGTCTTTGTTAGCTTCTTTTGAAAGAAGAGGAATCGACAAATTGACTTGTAACTGAATCAAAAGCATACTTGCAAACCGGAACATCATTTCATCACTGCAGGGAGGAGAGAGTCACTTTCAGGCTTGCTAAAGGATGTCCATGAGGTAACTTACTTTCACCCCTACTGTGGACCATTCTGGTGGATAACCTGCTGGACGATCCCTCTCGGTAGGGGGTTGATTTCCAATGCTCTGTGGACGAACTGGTTACCATAATTAAGGGAAAGTACGAAGAGGTGTTGTACAACATCCTTTGGCAAGCCCTAAACAAGGTCAACAGATTGTGCGAGAGGGAGTAGATGTCTGTTAACTCCCAAAAAACTGTTACCTTCCTCTTCTCCAAGAGAAGAAAGCTCGACAAGCTTTGACAACCTACTTTAGCGGGGAGAAACCATTCCTCTTGCGGAGGAGGTAAAATATCTGGGGATTATCATTGCGTGGAGATTTATTTAAGGAAAATAGCGGACGCAAGGAATCAGCAGTAATAAAAATTTGGCAAGATACCTTCATCAAAACTAGTAAACAAGCCTTTATGGAAAAGGTCTCTTATGGATTAAAAAATCTAACAGAAAAAGGAAACCGTACCTCTATGGAATGTGACGTTATATCTCCACTTTTACTGTATTCCTTTTTTATTCAGAACATAGTAACCACAATTTTTAAATGTAATACCATCCGGTTTAGCATAGATTTAAAATAGCAACAAATCAAAATATTGCAACAAAAATGCAAAAATATTGACGAAATTTATTTTTGAACAAGTATTCGATTTTAGGTCCCAACAAGGTTATCTATAATAATTTTTATCAATACCATGCAATGTAATTAGGTAAAAAAAGCTTAATCAATAATACTTACTTGTGGTTATTAGTGAGAGAACAAATCCCGCAAAAGTAATTGGCCACATTTTAATTATCAAACTATAGTAATGATTTTTTTAACATTTCACCAGAATATATATGACGAATGACATAACCTTTGGCATAATATATAAAACAAAAACAATTTATCTACAGTAATTCCAAATTAGGTAATGAGAAGCTGATAATTCAATATTTAATAAGGTCAATATCAAATAAAAAAACTGTTTTTTCCAGATTTTATAATCTGTCCTTCGATAAAATAAACAGGAATATTTAAAAAGGACGCGTTGTTTTTTTCTTTGTAATTCGGAATATTTTTTTTTTGTTTTAATAAAAAGAGTAATATCACTGTTTTTGTAGAAATGCTTCAAATACTAGAAAGTGTTATACCTATTGTGAGGTTGTCATAAATTGAACCTGTGTAAACAAGTTAGTTCGGGTCATAAAAACGCATTGTTATTCAAAAAGTAGCAGAATTCGAGAAATAAATATTATCATGATGGCATTATGGTACATTTCTATTGCTAATAAATGAATATCATCAATGTATAGGTAGTAAATGTCTAATAAATGGATTAAAGCATGATATACGAAAAAATGTCCATTATTAGATTCTAAATAAATAAAATATGGAAATATAGGTAGCCCATCCCTTACTGAAAACCTCTATTGGTACCATTTATCTTATAACAATGATATTAATTCAAAACTTCGCACAAAAATATTAATTTAATTAATTGTACATAATGTTCAATATTTCATAAAATGTAAGCTTATCTTTTGAAAATTAAATTAAATTAAGTTTAATGCGATCAAATAATGCATTTGCCAATCATCAGTATAAGTGCAGGTATACAGGGTGTGTCGTAACTATTGGGACTGCAGGTTATATGAAGCAAAATATGAAAATTGGCCAGAACATTGTTGTGAAAAAGTTAACGTATTTTTTCTTTCTTTTTTTAATAATTTCACATTTTCAAGAATCAAAAATGACACAGAGACATAACTTTATTCATGTTTTCTCTTATTCTTCACAGAATCTACACAAAGTTGCTTCTTCTGCTGGATTAATATGACATTCATTTGCCTTCTTAGGAGACAGTGTCCTACTGTTATCTACAATAAAGAAACCTTCAAATCCGTATCAAGTATTAATTTACATTCCCTGTTTTTTTCTCGTTCACCTTTTTTTAAATTTTGCTGAAGTTGTTAAAATCATTTACTGTTTCTAGTTTTTAATATTTGACAAAAGAAATAACAGGAGGAAGAGATAAGAGATAAAATTGATACAATAAGAATAATATTGGTTGACCACTGATTTTTAAAGATTTGAAACAACCATGGTTTATTTTATCTACGGTTTCTAAGTTTCTAACCCAACAGGTGTTGCACTATTATCTCCAGATTTCGGTTGTTATTAGCACATAGGCAACGTCGCTTCCAAAAGGATTATACGCTGGCGAGTTGTCTCAAAGTTAACAATAGGTCGGTCATACACCCACGATTCAACTCACGTGTATATTACCCATTCAGTTGCGTAAATAACAGGGCACCATAACATTTACATACATCTTCCTACCTGATTCTGATTCTCTGCTTCGTTGCATTAAACGGACATTAACAGAAACTGTTCGGTTCGAAAAGGCGATATATAGATGCTAACAATATTCACTGAAACTAAAATGGGAAGGTGCACACCAAAAATTTAAAACCATCATCGTGGGTTTAGGTAATAAGAAAAAGGAAAGCTAAAGATACATATTTCATTTAAATAGTTAAATTTAATAATAATAAGAAGAAGAAAAGGACTAAGGGCACCGAGGAAAGGAAAGAGTAAAGAAAGAAAGCTCTGAAGCTGGGAATTGTGAATAACAAAATATAAACGAAAAAATTCAAAAATGTGTGCCATCGATCACAGGTTCAATTTTAAGCTCTATAAATAAGACAAATATTAAGTTTAAAAAATTTTAAAAATGACTCCAATAACGTAATAATCAAAAGTTAATATAAATCTTAGTGAAACTCAGTAACTAATTTAATTGCTAAAACTAAAGTCAATTTATTACTAACAGAAGATTGACCTTAATTACAAAGGGTGCCTGAGTATGCCCAAACCTAGGGCAATCCATCAGGCACAACCTGCAACAAGACCTGCTCCTAGACCTGCATCACGACCCGCTAAAGTCATCAAAGGGTGAACCTACTCCCAAACCACCACCAGCGAGACGCAGAAGAACATTTACCTCGGTATGCAACAACTGGCTTTTGCAGCAGCTATTAAGCAAATCCAAGATTCCTTTGCACAATCGCTGCAAACAGTCGTGATGCAGTTTAACTAACAACACAATGTGTAGTACACCACCAATCAGACCTTAACAGCTTAAGATAGGCTCATGGAACTCCGGAGACCATGGGGGAGTTATTGGAGATGAAGAACCTAGACGTACTTGAACTTCAGGAAACTTAGGTTACGGATTCTCTTAACCTTAAGTGGCCAGTATATAGGAACGACTTCACCAACATGTCAGGAGGAACTGCTATTCTTGTCAAAAAGGAGATGGATCACCACTGAATCCTAACACCGGACAATCTGAGGTCTATGGAGGCCTCAACGATACTAATTAAAACCTCTCACGGGGATCTAAGGATATCGTCGACCTATGTAAGACCACAGTCTATCCTCCACCATGAAGACCTACTAGCTCTCCTTCCACCGGACGTGGAAGGAATCATTATCGGAGACTTAAATGCAAAATCACCGGACTGGAACAGCGTAGTGCACAACCCCAAAGGACAGGTGCTGGAAAACTTCCTAGATGAAAACCCTGGCTGTGCGGCGATCGGACCTCTAGTAGAACACACCCACTGTCCTGGAAGAGGAATGCCAGATGTAATAGACATTGCAGTCGTCAGAGACTGCACATTTCCCCTCGAAATGTTCACTCTGCACGAAGGAGTCGGAGCACACAAACCCACTCTCCCTGTCCTCGCAGAGAGAGAAAGGGCGGACGCTCCGAGAGAAATGTTGGAGACAAATTGAAAACAATTTAAAAGGATAGTGGGAGGAAACCTGGGAAACAATTTCAGCTAGAAAGAGAGCAAGGAAAATAGCATTTTGCACAAGAGACCCAGCGGATAGACGCCGAGCTAAAGTTTTAGGATGTCGCGGAGACATTGCAACTCATTTCAGACTTTATAGCTGCCCCACTCACAAATATTATCAATACAAGCCTTTCTACAGGATCTTTCCTCAACTTTTTAAGCAGTCTCTAATTATTCCTATACATAAAAATCTGATGTGTCCAACACATGACTTTCCTGTCCATTTATGATAGGCTTTTCCGGTTAATTTGTACAACCTATTGCAGCACCTCTATAAATGTTTAGAGGATAAACTAAATATATACGTTTTCCACATACATTCAACTCGAAACATTTTTCTAGAGATATTCATTGAAAACGAAAATACTGAAAAATTTTAATTTAGCACTTTTCCTCTAATTTTTTAATGACGGTCCATTTTAAATAAATCATGTAAAGAACAAAAATTATAGACATTGATATCGCAAACAACTTTTAGTTTAACAATTTTCTTAAAAATCTGAATTTTGCACATTTTGTCAAATTTCTCGAATGCGGACCATTTCAGAAAAATTTGGCATAAGGCAAAAATTATAGATAATAATATAAGTAACTTTTATTTGAACAATTTTCTTCTCCAAACATAAATAACAGATATATTCCATAAAATATAAAAACGGCCCTCCTTAAAGTACCCCCCAGATGTTCCGACTTTGTCCAAACGTAAATAACAGATATATTCTATAAAATATAAAAATGATCACATATAAAGTACCCCAGATGTTTCGACTTTGCCCAAAATCTAATCAGTTCACTGGAGGCCGGAATAAAGCTTAAGTTTAAAATTTGGTGTTTTTCTTTGTATTCGTTCATGACTTATCAAGGGGACACACACACACGCGCGCGAGCGCACGCACGCACGCGCATACACACAATGTGTGAAGATGTCACACATTGAAACAAAAAGATGGGGTTTCTGGTATTTTAAAAATTTTAAATTGTTTGTAATCGTTCTTATGTATTTTTTTAATGTTTTTTAAATTTTGACTGCACCCGAAGATGGAAACAAAGTTTTCCGAAACATACGTAGGCGGTGCTAACGATATTAAATAAAATTTATACCGAATACACCAAAGAAAATTTTTATTTATAAAAAATCTCTTTTTAGTTGAAAGTAAAGCAAATATTATTAGCTTTGCAGATGACACAGTAATGCATTACGAAGCTACCGACTAGAATCATTTGAAAAAAATGGTAGAGGAGGATTTGCCCCACTGATCTGTATTATTTTACTGGATAGGATATAGCCCCCTAAAAAACGTTCCGAAAAATTGGCCGATTTGGGCAAATAATATGGCGGACCGGATGTTATTTAACGTAACCTCTATTTCCATTTGTCATCACATTTGTCATTTAATTGTGTCAACAAGCTACGATGAGATGTTTTTATTGTGGAAAACAAAGTAAAAAGAGTATGAAATAAATAATAAACGTTCATTCCTGAAGACACAATATAGGTTCTTTCGTTCGTCCCACAGGTGTAGGAATGAACTACACCAACGTACACTAAACCTTTCGTTCGGCCCGGTGTAAAATCCACTAAACCTTCCTGTCGGCGATCTGGTGTCCACTGGTGGATATTTTCTCCACCAGCTATTTAGCAGGAGTGAATTACACTCGACATGTATATAAGGAATAAGGAGGGAAGTAAACTAAGGTAAATAAGGTGGTGTAACTGGTGTAATTTACACTGCACCAACAGCGAACGAAAGAACCTTATGCTTCACGTTTCCATTTTTATATTTTCTTTCATAAAAAATTAAATGAATGAATTTTCCCGAAGGACATCACCCGCAAAAGGAATAGAAGAAGAATAAGAAGAAAAACTATTTAAATTATAGGTTAGGTATGTCAAATTATCCCAAATTTCAGGTCTGTGAACCCACCATAATTTGCCCAAATCGGCCAGCATTGTTGCACTTCCGGTCTCCTTGGTGGAACGGTGTATTAGTATGTTAAATATAGCCTATATCCTATCCAGTAAAATAATACAGATCAGTGATTTGCCCAAAATAAAAACATGGTTTGACTACCGATTACTATCTATAAATTAAAAAAAAAAAAACAATATATGTACCTACCTTTTTGCAGTCTAGCTTCCGGTCTTCCTCAATTTCAAAATATCCCTATCGGGAACGACACATACCTGAAAATAAAATTAATATTAGGGATAAATATATTTAATACTGACCCAACAAATTACGTAGTGTCTTATGTAAATTCATACAAGTATCACCAATGCTAGAGTAACCTCAGACGAGAATTTTGTGTCATAGCCTTTTGAATCTCAACTAGGGAATAACTGGTTGGTGTGGAGTCACTAAAACGCACAGCCAATCGAGATTATTCAGAAATGTTTTTTAAAAAATGTGTATCAAGAAACTCAGATATTTGACTTACGACAGTTATTCTATCAAGCAGCACTCACCCATCAATTTCAAAATTAAGGTGAACTACAAACACCATTGCATCAATATGACACAACAAACAGAGATTATTTGCTACCACGAATGAATAAATCAGTTGGACAAAATAGTTATCGGTTTTCGGGACAAAAAAATCTTTAATAGCATTCCAACGGAGGTCCAAGAAATAAAAACAATAAACAAATTTAAAAAATATGTAAAAGAATTTATAACGAAAACACCGCGAACTTTTTTTATGTAATATAATCAATCGAATAAAAAAAATAGAAATTAAATAATTGGAAAGTATATTATAAACGTTAAAGAATCTGAATATTTTTAAAATGTTTTTCGTGTATGCAGAAATAATTTTTGTTATAATGAGGTACGTCGAGGTATATTATAAATAAATTTTATTTAGTATAATATCAAAAGTGTATAAGATTGTATTTATATAATTTTTATTTAGATTAATAATATTGTATTTCCTAAGTTTTAATTTTTAATTGCCTTTGCTTCATATTTTCAAATTCTTACTATCATATTGTTATATTTATATGTTTTATTATTTTGTCTTATTTTTTGTCACACACAATCTGTCATTGTACTTTGTACAGTGAGCAGATTCAGTGACACATTTCTTGTTTATTTACACTTTATTTCTCATTGTATTTTATTGTATCTGAATGTATATATTTCTGATAAATAAACATTATTATTGTTACTATTATTCTATCTTCGTCTGCGTGATTTAAGCTTTCTATGCACGTTAAGCGACGTAAACCTGACAAGTTTTTTTTCAAATTTTCAAGTATATTTTCACCTTTTTGGTTCGGGGATGGTCTTAATAATTGGTAGGGGGATTTTAGAGGTTTTTGGTAGTTGGAACATCCTACAAACTTGCAGAATATCAATTTCTGCTTTATTTTATAATTTTTTTAATAACTATAAAGTTTTCTGTTGTAGATTTTTTAAACATATTAATGGATTTGGGGTTATTAAGTGTTGTTGCGAGTTTATAAACCACAATAAATAGGGCGGATTTGCAGATGCTTTTTTGAATACGAAAAATTGATACTTGCATCTTGCATCTGTAAGTCCGCCATATTTGCAGATTAGCAAAGTAGTAGACTTGCTTTTTCTGTAATCTCGCCCCTAATATTTATTTACTTGTATGAACATTTTTCTTTTCTTTATTTTGTTATTTTTTAAAAATATATTATTTTATTATTTATTACTTTTATTTAGTAATAATTGATTAACGCTTATTCTGTTAGCAAAAATAAGTAGTGAAAAATGTATTAATATATCTTATTCTCGCCGATCTCTTCTTCTACAGTGGCAACGGTGCGCCAGCATCAACCACGCTTTTGTCGTTTTCTCCGGCAAAGGGGCCAAACCAGATGCACGTTTTATTTCACCTCCGACGTCCGCACGAAGCGCTCCCTCGCGATCGCTCCGGAAATCTCTCGCAACTCGCAAATCGCTCACCTGTTTCGAAAATCGCCGAAACTGGCGACGAAATGTAGCAATTCCACATTTCCGGTTCTACCGTCGACACGCTTCCGGGTGAAATTCACGACAGGCCGACTCTGTTTTTTGATAGTTTTTCGAAAAAGCGGACGAATCGAAGAGAGCGCGAAATAATTAGATGTTTCGCAATAGCAACAATGACGGATTCTGAATGTGGATTGTGGATGTGCGATGATTTTGGTGTACCATGATTTTTCATTTTTGTAGAAAAAATAGAGGAATTCCGAAAAATGGTTGTTTTAACATTTTGCAGTTTGGAGTATTGATCTAACCGGAAATAGATGAATTAAAGGTTAGTTATTTCCTTTAAATTGGTTATTTATATCAATATTTAAAATTGTAGGTAATTTACAATCTGTTGATTAAAATAAAATTAGTTTTAAATTTTGGAAACGTAAAAATAAAAATTGAAATTAAGATTGATAAATAATAAAATTAAATAAAAGTACATCTGTTCATAAAAAAATATGCCAAAAAAACTTAAACTTAACCAAAAGTGGCTTTAGGTCGAGGACCATGGGGACCATGTCCCCTTTCAGATAAAATATTGGCTAGAAAAAGGGGCAAGACATCTTGAATTCCTTTTATAGAGAATATACTATCATTTTTATTATTTTAAATCCTTTTAGAGGATTACTAAGATTTGCTTTTTGATTTTTTTTTTACCAAAAAATTAAATAACATAATATTAAATAATATTATAAAATAAAATAACATTAAATACAATTAAATAACATTATAACCTAAAATACTTTAAAATAAATTGTTAAAAAAAATTTATATACTCTTATAGGATTTTAAAATTTAAGTGGTTTTTTAAAGGTTGTAAAATTAAAAAAAAAATCAAGTATAATTGACGATTTCACACATTCAATTTGAGTGTAAAATTATTTATATTCCTAACTAGAAAACTATGCCCACTCTAAAAAAATACATAGGTACATGAGTTTGTTTATAACATGATGATAAAAAAACGAAAACTTTAATTTAATGTATACATTTTTAAATAATTTAAAAGTATTACAGGTGGATACTGAAAAAACTCTACCTCTCAGGGGACAAATGAGTTTATTTAATTATGCATATCAAAAACTTGTATTATCAAGTTGATATATAAAACTTTTACACTTTGTTAGTAAACATAGAATAAAGGTAATTTAAAAAATTACACATTTTGAAAGGTTAAAATATTCCAATGTACGTACGTAAAAAAATCTGATGTGTCCAACACATGACTTTCCTATCTAGTTATTACAGGCTTTTTCCGGTTATTTTGTACAACCTATTGCAGCACCTCTATAAATGTTTAGAGGAGGATAAACTAAATATATACCTTTTCCACATACATCTACCTAGAAACATTTTTCTATAGATATTCATCATTGAAAACGAAAATACTGAAAAATTTAGATTTAGCACTTTTCCTACAATTTTTTCATTACGGTCCATTTTAGAAAAATCATGTATGAACAAAAATTATAGAGATCGATATCGCAAACTTTTATTTCAACATTTTTCATAAAAATCAGAATTTTGCACATTTTGTCAAATTTTTCGAATACGGACCATTTCAGGAAATTTTGACATAAAGCAAAAATTATAGATAATAATATTAGAAGTAACTTTTTTTTGAACAATTTTCTTTTTCAAACATAAATAACAGATATATTCCATGAAATATAAAAACGGCCTTCCATAAAGTACCCCCCAGATGTTCCGACTTTGTCCAAAATCTAATAATTTCACGGCAGGCCGAAATAAACCTTAAGTTTAAAATTTAATGTTTTTTCTTTATCCATTTTTGAGTTTTCTTCAAAATTCGAAATTTACACATTTTCTCAAATATCTCGAATACGGTCCATTTTAAAGAAATTATGTATATAATTAAAATTATAGAGAATTATATTACAAACAACAACTTTTATTTGAACAATTTTTATAAAAAATTATTTTTTTACATTTTGTCAAATTTCTCGAATACGGACCATTTTAGGATAATTTTGTATAGAACAAAAATTATAGATAATTATATTAGAAGTAACTTTTTTTTGAAGAATTTTCTTCTTCGTATTCGAGAAATTTGACAAAATGTGCAAAATTCTGATTTTTATGCAAGTTTTTGAAATAAAAGTTGTTTGCGATATCGATCTGTATAATTTTTGTTTATACATGATTTTTCTAAAATGGACCGTAATGAAAAAATTGTAGAAAATTTAAATTTTTCAGTATTTTCGTTTTCCATGAATATCTATAGAAAAATGTTTCGAGGTAGATGTATGTGGACAATGTATATATTTAGTTTATCCTCTAAACATTTATAGATATGCTGCAATAGGTTGTACAAAATAACCGGAAAAAGCCTATAATTACTAGATAGGAAAGTCATGTGTTGGACACATCAGATTTTTCGAAGTCGGTTAATAGGTTTCTTACTTTCCAGCGATTTGATCTTTTTTGTTAAATTTAAAATAGCGTCCACAGTTGAGGTCTTTTCTTTGAATCCATATTGTTTATTAGACAATAGGTTGTATCTATTTATGAATGATAGCCTAGAAGTTAGGTATTTCCCAATAATTAAGCCTTAAGCTTCGTACAGCTAAATTTTTCCAGAAAACCATTGATATTCTATTATTGACCCAAATATTTAATAATATAGAAAGGCTTGGTAATAATAATAATAATAATAATAATAATAATAATAATAATAATAATAATATTAATAATAAAATCATAAGTAGGTGGCATAAAATTTCAAAAAAGGTACAAAGAAGCAATTTACGAAAAAAGTAAAATATGCAAAAAAAAACCTAGATTAGACAAAATCATTGGTGGTGTAAGGAAGGGACCTTAGAGGGACAGTCTGGGAGGGGGGCTTAGCCCACCATGTTACTAAGGTGTAGACCCGCTTTGCGCGGATTAGATTTTAAGTTCACTTCACTCTAACAAGGTTTAAGCCTCCTCCCAAGAAAAGTTATTCTACTGCCAATGGGCAAAATAGGTAAAAACGGCCTATAATACTAGCTTTAGTTATCAGAGATTATACTGGAAATAATCAGTAAAATATTATTCTTGGAACCCGTCTGTAATCAAAGTACTTTATAAAAACGTACAGCATTTTTAAAAATTTTCCGATTTGCAATTTAAACACTTAATATGCATACAATATATTTCTTATCCCATAATAATTGGAAAAATTTCCCGAAACACCTCGGATGATTTTCTTTGGGGGACATCTTTTGACGTATATTTGAGGCTTGAACGAGCAACCCCCTATGAGGGGCGCTTCAACCCCTCAAAATTGAATAGGGAAGAGGGGTTTAGTGATACTTCATTTGTAAGGTATTGGAAGCCTCTTTACAACGGTGTATGACAAAAATCACATTCTAAAAAAAATTAATTATTTTATCATGCTTACAATCAAAAAAATAAAAACTGCGTTTTTAAATCAAATGTTCAAATTGTCCTTCATTGACTTCCCTGAAACGTTTTTTACGCTAGGCATAAGCGATTAAATGTCCGTCCCATAGATGAAAACAAGATGATAAACAAAAATTTTCATTAAAGTTTTTTTACAAAATGGGGCCATTTTTCCATATAAGTTTACAAAAAAAAAAACAACGTCTGTCAACCCGGATTTGTTATCTATTAAATAAAATTAAGCATATATGCTTTTAAGGTTGTGGCCACAAAATTGTATCTCTACGTCCTGGAAAAAATTCTGGCAACGCCTAAAATGTTCGAACAAAAAATGGAGTGGACTGTTATTTATATTGTATAAACTTATTTTACAAAGTACGCCTATAGTCATGGGCGTCGTTACACAATTCTATAGGGGGGGGGCAAAATTTTTTAAAAAAATTAGAATGTTTATTTGTTGAAAAACAAAGATAATGAAAAATAAAAAAAGAATACAAATTAACAACAGTTTCTAATAAATAAAATAACCCAACAAAAAAGATAAAAACTAAAATAGAAAAAACAAGAAACTTAAAACACAAATTTTTAAAAAATAAACAGAATGTGTGAAATAAAAGAAAAATATTAACAAGAAGACAGAGCCATACATAATATTTAAAAATAAAATATAGAAACACAAAAACAAAAAAACTCACTCAAAGACGTTGACAATACTAGCAAAACGTACATTTTTAATTTCTTCTTCATCTACCTAAAGTAATTGATAACAGAAAACATGAATTCTTTTTAATTTTTTGCGATTATTTTTCGATGTACGCTCATCATGCAAAGCGCAGTCAGCCTATTTTTATTATTTATTTGCTCTGTGCGTGACAGTAGCGCCAACTAATTCATGAACTAAAGGACGATATTTGCGTATACTGACAATACAATTTTTAATGAAATCCCTAATTAAAAAATATATATGTTTATTTTAGTAAAAGTATATGGATTTGTAAAACAAGTGACAAAATTATTATTATTATTATTATATATTTTTATTACTTCAGCTAAAAATAAATGTATGATATGTTGCCTAAGCCTAATAAGTTGTCATTGAAGAATAGGTTGAATAATGTAAAAATAAAAACATTACCATTATATAATAACGTAATATCAAAACGTATTAACAAAAATAATTGGTAAATTTGCGATTTTAATTTATATTTTTTTCATTTTTAATTCGAAAGAACCCATAGAAATTAATCAATAAAATTGGTTTCCTATCAATAAGTCACAAGATTGCATTTTAGCCACATACAATAATCAAAGGCAGAAATCTAATCTTTGCTAAACATTTAAAAGTTAGGGGATGTTGAACAACATTGTAAAATAATAATTTATTGTTTATTTAAACCTTTCAATTTTTTTATGTCTACTGTTTCCAGTATTACTGTTATTATTACAAAAATAAAAGTTTTCTTCTTTTTATTGTACAGCTATCCATTTATTTCTTTGATTTAATTTCCATTTTGCTACTGAAAATTTATATAATTTACACTGTTTTTTCTGCTAGTATTTTTACAATGTACAACACAACAACTGCTACTGCTTTTTGTTTTGTTTTTATCTGTTAGAGAAAATAATGTTGAAATAGTTTGGTGAAAGGTTTTTATTAACGAATAACTATTTGAACAAACAATACTAGAATTAAAATAGCAACTCAGGTGCGCACATTCGTTGGTTAATTTACATTGACATCTTTATAAAACAAAAGTAATTTAAGCAGGGTTGCCAACTATAATAGATACGGGTATTTTAACATTACCTACTTTAAAAAAAAAAAAAAAAAGGATAAGTACCTACGTGTAAAATATGGAATAAATATATTCAACC